GACCACAGTACGTGCGGCTGCACAGCTGTGAGTCTGAGGTGGTAGTCTGCAGCACTGGGGCCCCTCAGGGCACTGTCCTCTCACCGTTTCGCTTGACCATCTACACCTCAGACTTCACACTCGACACACACAGCTGTCACCTGCAGAAGTTCTCCGACGACTCCGCCATCGTGGGCTGTGTGTCTGAGGGGAACGAACTGGAATATCGGTCGGTTATCAAGGACTTTGTCGACTGGTGTGAGCGCAACCACTTGTGCTTGAACACCAGTAAGACCAAGGAGATGATCATCGACTTCAGGAGAAAACCACTTTCCCACACGCTGCTGAACATCCAGGGGGAGGACATTGAGCTGGTGGACAGCTTCAAGTACCTGGGTGTTCACATTAACAATAAACTGGACTGGTCCCATAATACAAACGCCCTGCACAAGAAGGGCCAAAGTTGCCTCTTCCTTCTGAGGAGGCTGAGGTCCTTCGGAGTGAGCAGGCCTCTGCTCAGGACTTTTTATGACTCTGTGGTAGCTTCTGCCATTTACTACGCTGCCGCGTGTTGGGCCCCGGGCAGCACAGAGCGGGACAGACTGAACAAGCTGGTCAGGAGGGCCAGCTCCACTCTGGGCTGCTCCCTGGACTTTGTGGAGGAGGTGAGGGACAGGAGGGTGCTAGCCAAAGCCACCTCCATCATGAACAATACCTTCCACCCACTGCACAGGACTGTAGAGGAGCTCCTTCAGTGGAAGACTGAGACACCCTCAGTGTAGGAAGGAGCGCTACCGCAGGGCCTTTATCCCCACCGCTGTCAGACTGTACAATAAATCACTTTAAATGATCACTGTGTGAAAACCTGCACTACTATTGACACCGTTTCCAATTGACACTTGTCACTTTTGTTGCACATAAATGTCACTTTATTGTACATATATATCCTGCATGTAACATGTTTGCACATTTCCTCCTTTTGCACAATCTGAGTGTCTCTATCCATGCCAAATGGTACATGTAAATTTCTCCTATGTGAGACAAATAAAGCACATCTTATCTTATCTTCACAAACGCTCTCCATCCAACCTCACTGAGCTCGAGCTGTTTTGCAAGGAAGAATGGGCAAGAATTCCAGTCGCTCGATGTGCAAAACTGATAGAGACATACCCCAAGAGACTTGCAGCTGTAATTGCAGCAAAAGATGGTGCTACAAAGTATTAGCGCAAGGGGGCCGAATAATATTGCATGCCCCACTTTTCAGTTTTTTATTTGTTAAAAAAGTTTAAATTATCCAATAAATTTTGATCCACTTCACGATTGTGTCCCACTTGTTGTTGATTCTTGACAAAAAAGTTAATTTTTATTATATCTTTATGTTTGAAGCTTAAAATGTGGCGAAATGTTGAAAGGTGAATACTTTCGCAAGGCACTGTATATGCCAGAGTAGGAGTCTGACGTGTGCATGGGGAAATGGTGGTGGTTGGAGGAGTTGTTGGCACATATTAGTAACCTCGCTTCTGTCAATTTGTCCCAGACTTAAGCATAGTCCTGCCTGCATCACCTCTAGCCTGAGCTTGGAGACATATGATGTAGCCCAATATCTTAATGTCTGTGAAAAGTCCCCAACACACAGGAAGGAGCAATGGGGAACAGGTTATGTCTTGTGCTTGAGACACGACTGCTTCATAAAGAAACCATAATGACAAACCGGGCGAATACACACAAGGATGTACAGAAAATAACATATTTAACTTTATTTACCTTGTAGCTTGAGCCACAGATATAAGTAGAATAAAATAACTTCTGTCATAACTATTTTGGGACTCACCATTTTTGATAAGATGAGGATGAGTGTAGGGGCTGGGTTGACCAAGATACCGTGGCGGGACAGTTTTGGGCTTTAAACTTCCAGGTTTCATTGAGATCTGTCGACATCCGCAAAAAAGACATCCTGCAAAGAAAAGTAAGAGATTGTAGGCCAGTTTATTTTTATAGCACAGTTTAAGCACAAAACATCAAGCAATTAAGGAAATAAAACATAAAAAAACTTAATCCATTTATTTATATATAAATAAATATATATATATTTATTTATATATAGCTCATGACCAAAAACATGGTATGGAGCACAGGTTAGAGAACAAAACAAAACAGCAAAACAATATATCATTTTAACAAAGGAATAACCTTTCCAAAAATGTACCAAGTTTACAAATTATTCTGTGGCTGCCATTTTGCATTAGCGCAATTTTTTTTTGCATTGATGGATATTGAACATAATACTGATGTAGATATCTGTCTCAATATACAGCTACTTCATTATTCGAGCACTCAAACAGTAAGTGAAACTCATCATCAATATGATTACCTATGCAAAGGTTACAAAAACGTAAATGTATATTGATGCCCTTGCATCGTCCAGAGATCTTGGATAATCCGTTATTTCCCGTTCTTAAGTGAACGATAGACTGTTGGTTTGGTTTTCATACAACCAAACAATTGTCATTTTTTCATTTCAAACACAGTGTTAGATCCCACCAAGATATCACAAGACGAAATACTTTGGCATTTCAACCATGGAGACACATATTCTCCTTTGCTAAATAAAATCAAATAGCAAATTGTACATTAATTCACAATACAATACAATACAATACAATTTATTCTTGTATAGCCCTAAATCACAACAGTAGTAATCTCAGAGGACTGAACAAAACCATTGAAATCAACACAGATCAAAGAATCAACAGTTAAGACCCAAAAAAGCTCAGTTGGTAGAGCATTGGCCTTTGAGCCTGAAGATTGTGGGTTTGGGCCCACAATGAGACCTTCTCCCTCTTATGTCTGTTGTTGTGTCCTTGGGCAAGACACTTAATCCCACTTTGCCTGAGGCCCCCACTGAAAGATCAAGGCTATGCTCTCACTGACAGAGAAGCCGTCCTCCTGTGGACTCACCACCTGCAGGAGGATTGAGGGGCTGGTGCTCTGTGACTCCCCGACCAATTGGTGGCAGTGGTAGAAAGTGGTAGAAAATGGTAGAAAATGGATGGATGGGTTTCCTTGGATTGCAAGAACCTCCCCCAGAATACCCAGGCTATAGAGAGTGGGAAACGGCCCAGTGCTCCACATTTTTACTTTGATGGTGTATTTTAGAAATCTGAGATGGAGTTTTTCCACTAGTTAAAGGAGCAATATGTAATATTTGCATGTCAAGTCATCATTAAATGACCCGAATATTTCAAAAGGCGTTATTAAATCATACTCTTTTCGAATTCATCTTTAACTGATAACAGTAGTTCAGCCGAGATATTTGATCATCAAAATTAGTTTTACGACCCGTAAAAGTTGTTATTGTTTTGATTTTGATGTCCTACCCTCCGCCGTTTCGCCAATCAGGAAGTGTCATGTAAGTCTGTGATCGGGTTGCCAGAACTCCGCGCGGCTCATTAATCTCAGTGGTAAAATAACATGTGGCGTAGAACTAGAAAAGGTCTTGTTATGACTCTCAAATAATTAATGACAAAACAAAGACTAAAACGAGGATTTATATCGGGATGCCTTTGAACAATTGAGACAGCTGATAAAAGTTTACGTGTGATGCAGAATTTTCTAGTTTCATTGCGTTCTTCACGGTGTCTCTGTTCGTGTGAACCGGTGGCCTAGCAGTCTAAGCTGCGCGCTTACGATGTAGGAACCCGGGTTCGATCCCGGGCTATGTCTTTTTGTATTTATTGCATGTGATCACATTCTATGACAGATTGCTCTAAAAACGGTATAAGATGAAGGTCAAGACGTTTTTTTGCAGATTATAGCTTAATTGTAAAAATAATCATTTAAGACCACATGTACCCCAATTAAAATAATGTTAGTCTCTTTTTGATGTGGGACTTTTACATGTTTGTCTAAAAAATAGGGAATAAATAAAATTGAAAGGTGATATCCTCTTGAGCAAACCCTGATGTTGATACGCTGAAGAAATACGTTCCAACATCCATTCTTCCCACTCCTATTTTGGACATCAATTTCTTATTTATTTTGCATAAACTATGTATAATTACATTGCTTTTATTTTGTTTTTGTTTTTTATCTCAAATGTCCAAATTATAATAATAAAAAAACATGAATCAAAACATTCATTCAGCATTAGCACGGCTGTCATGGCAATGTGAATGGAGACGGACAAACAACTGATAAAATAATTCCCTGTGTTTGCTGCTGGATTTGGTGTGAATCTGGCAACCTGAGTCAGGGAGAGTGGGAGAGGACTACAAAATATTGACTGTGACTGCAGTACCACTTTTGGCCAGATTTTTACATATTGCTCCTTTAAGTTAGTTCAGAGCCCCATACCTTGTATACAACAAGACAGGTTAAACTAGTTTATCTAACAAATCCAAAGCAATATCCACTGATAATCCAGTTGCAAACACAGCTTGAGTGCCTTTAGGGTCTATACCTAAATATGTAAAAACAAGGCACAATCTCTTGGTTTTCCCCGTTACACGTAAACTTATACTTTTTATAGTTGGATTTTCTATAACCAAATACTGTTACTCATTAAAAAAGATTGACAGATTAAACAATATCTAATCGAGATTTTACAATATCTAATTGAGGATGATCTCTACAATAACCAATGTATAATTTAAACACATTAGAAATGGGAGAAAAAAAACAAGTGTTGTTTATTCGTTGTGGTGTATCATGGGCATATTATATTATTGTATTTTTAAGTATAGCCGGTGACCTCCGCATGGTTTAAGTAGTTCCAAAAATTACTAGCTCAGAGATGCATCTCTAGGGCCAAGCAGGCACAGACCATCCCCCTCATAACTTAGAAAAGTTGGTTGTGAATAGTTTTTGATTCATAAAAACCTAAAATAGTTTCAAATTGTAAACATAAAAAAATAGATGTTGAATATGTATGGGGCCACACTTTCCATGGCAACTCCAGGGAAAGTTTTAACACAACTTCTCACAACGCGTGTTACGTGAAATATTGCACCCCCCAATCTCACCTTGAGCAAAGTTTCGCCGTGACAGCAGCCTCACTGTCGATCTGACCAGAGCGCTTGAAGATGAAGGAGACATAGCATAGCATGCTACTAATGCCGAGGTCATTGCTACAGCAAGACCAAACGCCACTATCTTGTTAATAAAATATACAGATCTTGTTACTACGACCACAAAATACTCGCCTGTTCACAAATTGACGCATTTTAGTCATGCCCACTGTCAGTCCAATGATCCACTCATGCTGTTTCGTTAGCTGCTTCCTTTGCTGTAACTTGAGTTTTTCCCCTGAATTTTGTTTTGCAGGCTGTTAAACGAGTGCCCTCAAATATATATTGAGAGGATTATTGTTTGTTACATTTCAAAAGTATGAATTATTCTTAACCTATTTTACGTAGATTCAAAAATAGTTTAAGAATAAAGTACTCAACTAAGATGTTTAAGCATGAACGATTAGACATGGAATAATATAATATTTACAGTTTTTATTATGAATGTATTAGTTTTATTTACTACTTTTGTATATTTTCTTAATCTATACAATAACAGGTGTTTTTTAATTTAATTATAAGAAATGCACATTATGCAGTACACAGGTGACACAGGTTAACCCTAAATTGATCGTTATTTGAATGTCGAGCTTTTTTCCCCAAAAGCTACATATTACCTTGGTTCTGGTAGTAAGGAATTTAGTTTTTATGTTCTCGGTCTGCTTTTGTCAGTGCATGCTCAGAACATACATAGTGACAAATGCGTTTGAGGATTTACGGCCGTTATTGGTTGTTTTCATTGTGTAATTTTAGGCCCTGTAAATTATTGTTATAGACCGTATAGTCTATAAGAATAACTTCACCTTTTACATTGTTGCTCTGGTGCCTTTCAGTCTAAACTCTGGGCAACATTTACGCTCCCACTAGCCTGAATGCAACACGGCAGTGACATCGTCCGAAACTGCAGGAAGCTGCGTTGTGCATCAAAAACATTGCTGGTTTGTTCAACCCTCAATATTTCCATCGATTATCACCTTCAAGGTGCGTGGAGATTCACTACTGGGCTAACGGATTTCAGCGCAGGTTTCCACTCAGTAGATGCATGAATCTATACTGCCCATGCAGCTAACGTAGCTAGCTTAACTAATGTTAAACACCGTTCGATTTCGTGCGTCACTTCAAACACATGGGCTTTGGCCTCTTTGATATTCACGTTAAGATCCGTTTGAATGTTCAAGAGAAGGTTTCCAGAAAAACAGATAAGCAGCTAATAAAATGGCTAACGCTCCCGGGGCTGACCAAGTGCCTATGCGAAAACAAGGCTTAACTCTAACTATTGTTTGCATCCACTGTCCACAGCGCGTGGTTTACCGACTGAAAACCCAGCATGGATCCACGGAAAATCAGCGAGCTGAAGGCGTTCGTGGAAACATGCCAGTCCAACCCTGAGGTCCTGCACCTTCCCGAGATGAGCTTCTTCCGGACCTGGGTGCAGAGGTGCACTTTTCTGATTCTCTTTAACTCATATTATGGTTAACTCTATCACTCAAGGGCCTTACAGGAATTTATAAAATACACGTTGCGGTCTTTAAAAAAAAATTTGTTTTGTTTTTTTACATGTATCGAGTGAATATGTTCATGGTAAATGTCACAGTTCATATACTTCTATGCTCTGTGCTCTGAGTGAGTAGTACTATTTCATTAACAGTAAACACAAAATGAGATGGATTTTTATTCTCGAGATTGTCATAGTTCTTAAACGGTTCTCAACTCTCACTGCTATTTATCGATCATGTGTTGTGCACATTGATAAAACATTACAAACTGCAAAATGAACACAGTTACAGATTATTATGACAGCATTAGTTAGATGCTGCTGCCTCTTATGCTTAAGTGAAAAACTTTCGAGTTTATGATATTGTAATGTTTAAGGTTACTATTATTCTAGGTTAAAATGTGGGTTAGTAAGGTTTAGACATATTCAATAATATGGGAACATCTTTCAGTTGTATGCACAGCTAAACCAGAGATTTGTACACAAGCTGCTCCTGAGCCACTGAAAACCAATGTAGAGACCTGAGCATTCTGTGCTTCCTGGCTACTGTATAGAGCCATAGACTACAACTCTATACAGTAGTAGACCCTCAAGGCTAGCCAGGCCTTCTCTGCTGGCCTAAACAAGATCAGGACTATATACACTTTGCCACAAATATGTATAAAATTATTCCCCATAGTCTATCCTTTTTTCTGCCCCTGGTCAACATTTGGAGGGCTGGTGTTAATGTTAGAGTTTTTATCCAATCATTATTCAGCATCATTTGTTGCCAGGGTCCAAAATCTGTAAGTAGGCCTTCTACATTGCTGGCCAACAGTAGCTTCAGTGAATGAAAAAGAATCTGTTGTGGCATTAACCAATCAGAAGTTTCCTTCCTTCAGGGCCTTCTAGTGCCTACGGCATCAGCGTGCATGTCTTTTGATTTGATACACAATATAGAGAGGCGTCAATGTGATAAACTGAAACAACATTTTTAATTTGAGTAGCGCGACAAGTTCTTTGTTTTTTCAACCCACAGATGATATCAATAATAATTTAAGTAGATGATTACAACGCCATTCTCAAGATGAACCCGAGGAGCCGTTAAACTGGTCCGCGGCACTAGAAAGGTGGGAGATCTTTTGGCTTGGACATCACTGCAGGCGCAGGTGGAAATGCTCAGCCCGCCACTGACACTATATCAGGAGTGAACTGATTGAGTGTTGATGTCTCTATTGTGTTTGCTGTATGTGAAAAAAGCCATTGAACATAAGACTACTGGAGCCAAATTTCTTATATGGAAATTTGGTCCGTCGTCGTTAGCTTTGTGCTGTTACACGTGGACGTGTTGCTAAGACGAGCTGGACATTCCCCGCAAATTAATCTCCGTCTGATTGATCCTTATGGGGGCGACAGTGGCTCAGTTGGCATCGGCCTTTGAGCCCATCACAAGACCTCTGTCATTGTGTCCTTCTCCACTTTGCCTGAATTCCCCACTGCTCTGTCAGCCATCCTCCTATGTACTCTCCACCTGCAGGAGGATCAGTAAGGGGCTGGTGTTCTGTGAATTTGACAGAAATGGACAAAGGGGAAGAAAAAGGATGGCTGGAGTTTCAGCTACAGAACTCTACTCTTTTGAATTTCATTCATTAACATTATCCATATGTTCATTAAAGTCACCTGTAATGACTAGACCACCAAGTCTGTGCACAGAACTGAAAGTCATTTGATGGCTTGTAGAGTATGTAAAGTATGCAGGAAGATTGTTTTTGGTCCATTATTTCTTTTCTTCAAATCAGAATCATTTTTATTGCCACGTAAGTAACAGGAAGTCACAGACTTGGAAATTGCTTTGGCTCAGTGCAACAGTCAGAAAGAGATAATAAAAATAAGAATAAAAAACACTTCTAAGGAATAAATTTAAATTTAAAATAGTTAGTTACTATTTACAATATACAAGTGCACACATGGTGCACACAATGTAAGGTGACAGCAGTACAGTGAAGTAAAGTGACGTATGATGGGCAGTAAAGTGACTTTATAAAGGGCAGGGGGACAGGTTAAGAAGTGATCAAGAGTCCAACAGCAGAGGGGAAGAAACTGCTCTTGTGGCGGGAGGTTCTAGTCCTGATGGACCGCAGCCTCCTGCCTGAGGGGAGTGGTTGGAATAGTCCATGTGCAGGGTGAGAGGGGTCGGCTGTGATACGACCAGCCCGGCCTCAAGCTCGGGCGACGTACAGGTCCTGCAGCGATGGAAGGCTACGGCCAATCACTTCCTCTGCAGAGCGCGCAATGCGCTGTAGTCTCTGTTTGTCCCTGACTGTGGCTCCAGCGAACCACACGGTGACGGAGGAGGTGAGGATGGACTCGATGATGGCCGTGTAGAACTGCACCAACATCTGTGCAGGCAGCTTGGCTTTCCTGAGCTGCCGCAGGAAGTACATCCTCTGCTGGGCCTTCTTGATGAGGGAGCTGATGGTCGGCTCCCACTTGAGGTCCTGTGTGATGGTGGTGCCCAGGAAACGGAAGGACTCCACAGAGGTGATGGGGGAGTCCATCACGGAGGGTGGGGGCGGGGGGACAGTGCTCTTCCTGAAGTCCACAATCATCTCCACTGTCTTCTGGTCGTTCAGCTCCAGGTTGTTACCACTGCACCAGGACACCAGCCGGTCCACTTCCCTCCTGTAGGCGGACTCATCGTTGTTGGAGATGAGTCCAAAGAGGGTGGTGTCGTCCGCGAACTTGATCAGCTTCACGGAGTCGTGGCTGGAGGTGCAGTGGTTGGTGTACAGGGAGAAGAGCAGGGGAGAAGGAACACAGCCCTGTGGGGCTCCTGTATTTATAATCCGAGAGTCCGAGACATTCTTCCCCAGACGCACTCGCTGCTTCCTGTCAGTCAGGAAGTCAGTGATCCACCTGCAGGTGGAATCGGGCACGTTGAGCTGGGAGAGCTTGTCCTGGAGCAGGGATGGCAGGATTGTGTTGAAGGCAGAGCTGAAGTCCACGAACAGGACCCTGGCGTAGGTCCCCGGGGAGTCCAGGTGCTGTAGGATGTGGTGGAGGGCCAGGTTAATGGCGTCGTCTACAGATCTGTTGGCTCTGTAGGCGAACTGCAGGGGGTCCAGGAGGGGGGAGGTGACGGACTTGAGATGGGAGAGAACCAGGCGTTTCAAATGACTTCATGACGACAGACGTAAGTGCTACAGGTCTGTAGTCATTGAGTCCTGTGATCCTGGGCTTCTTCGGGACGGGGACAATGATGGAGGATTTGAAGCAGGCCGGGACATGGCAGGACTGCAGAGAGGTGTTGAAAATGTCAGTGAACACAGGAGTAAGCTCACTGGCGCAGTGTCTCAGAGTGGCCGGAGACACGTGGTCCGGGCCAGGAGCTTTGCGGGGGTGCAGCCTCAAGAAGAGTTGTTTAATCTCTTTAGAGGCTATTGTTAGGCTGGGGGCAGGGCTGATGGGTGGGTCGTTAGAGTAGTGGGGGGGTGGGGGAGGGAGAGGTGTCAGGGGCAGCATCAAAGCGACTGAAAAATAAGTTCAGTTCGTCAGCTAGCTTGTGGTCGTCAGCACAGAGGGGGGCTTTGGGTTTGTAGTTGGTGATCTCCCGTAGGCCCCTCCAGACAGAAGCAGTATCGTTGTTACCAAACTGCTCCTGTAGTCGTTCTCTGTGCCGGGACTTGGCTGCTTTCAGTTCTTTCCTGAACTGATATTTAGCTGCTTTGTAGCCGCTGCGGTCCCCCTCCCTGAAAGCAGACTCCTTTGCTTTCCTGAGCTGCCGGAGTTTAGCAGTGAACCAGGGTTTGTCGTTGTTATAGATGACCCTGGTCCTTGTTGGAATGATGCTATCCTCACAGAAGTGAATGTATGACGTCACAGTGTCCGTGTATTCATCCAAACTATCTGTGGCAGCTCTGAAAAGGTCCCAGTCTGTAGATTCCATGCATGCGCGCAGCTCTTCCACAGCTTCATCAGACCACACTTTGGAGCTCCTCACTGCAGGTTTCGAGAGCTTTAGTCTGTCTGTAAGCAGGAACCAGATGTATCATGGAGTGATCTGAGAAGCCGAGGGCTGGCTTGGGAACAGCGCGAAAAGCTCCGCACACGGTGGTGTAACAGTGATCCAGAGTGTTCTCCTCTCTGGTCGGGCATTTGATAAACTGTCTGTATTTGGGTAATTCCTGGCTCAAGTTTCCCTTATTAAAGTTATTTGGGTTATTACTCATCTTATCAATGTAATTGCAGCATGGGTGCCAAAATACCTCCACCAAAGATGAGAGACTCCTGCAAGGTATAGTTTTAACTAACTTTCCATTACTCATTGAACAGTCCTCGTCATTTCATTTCTATCTAATTTGTAGGGAGGTTGCCCGTGTGGTCCGCCTCCTGCAGCTGCTGGAGCGGCTGCTCATGAACCAGAGTCACTCACAGAGTCTGAGAGCGAGGAGAGCGACATAGGTATAGTCTAATCTGTTGTCTTATTTGGTCAATGTAGTATTTTTCTCCAACCTTTCCCCACCTGGAGAGCTACTAAGTAAAGCCCTAGATAAATACAGTTGGATGCCTATCAAACAGTCTTTCATGACTTATTCATGCAAAAAACGTAATCACAATGATGAATTTGAAAATGTTAAATATTGTGCTTAATATTTAGTTAGCTCTCAAGCTACAGTATGGAAACCCATTGTTTTATTATCTGATATTAAGTTCTATGAAGTTTATAATTTAGTATACCTTTTTTTTGCTTAAGAAATTGACAATGATGGAGTTATTGAACCTGACACTGACCTGCCGCAGGACATGCAGGACATGGACGATGTAGAGGTATTTCTTACATTACAAACTACACGTTCTAAGATTCACTGTATGTAAATAAAACACTTCTTGCAATTGTCAGGTGACAGATGAAATGATGGACCAGGCAAATGAAAAGAAGATGGAGGCCATTAATGCACTGGGAGATGGTAATAATGTAATAATATTTTATATGGTTTTAAGTGACGCAATATTTCTTAAATATTGTGTCTAGGTGACCTACAGAAGGCTTTGGATCTTTTCACTGAGGCAATCCAGTTGAACCCTTGTGTTGCCATCATGTACGCCAAGAGAGCAAGGTAATTCTATTTTTGATTTGAAGATGGTTTACAAGCATACAATGTAGAATCAACTATTTAGGAAATGGGGAGAAATGAATCAACAATGCTCTCATTAAGCACAAACCTGTGGCTTTTCTCTTCTTTTTGTGTTTTATCTGCATGCATAGTTTTCTGGGTTGCGTGTGTGTATGAATGTGAGAAAGTTGTCATTTCCACAAATTCATGCGGCTCTTAAACTTTGCTTAATCTTTTTGACCAGGCTTTCCATGAGCCGTATGGATCCGCATGTGTCTGTACACACATTTCTCTGCTGAAATAATATCTCCAACTACTTATGTGCCTTTTTATAAAATAAATCAATGTGAAATTTAGGAAATCCAAATGTAATTTGATTTTCAAACCATGCTTTTGGTCAGTAGACCAAGATTTAATGAAATTTAATAAAAGTGATAATTATATAAAGTTTTGTATTTGGCTTTTACGGGTGGATAACTATTTGTGTTGATGTGATTGTATTTGCCATTCAACTATTTTGAAGATCAGTATCAAAAATCCGGATAGATGCACCTGCCAAATGTTTCAAACCAGTTTCTGTTCACAGGCTGCGAATACTGCCCACTAGTGGTGGAAGGTTTTTGAAGCACAATTATAATGCATGATTTAGTCTTGGTAAAAGTATCCAATGAGATTGCAGAACAAGTAACAAAAGTAGTCATTTTAGCAGTGTTGTCAATTATTGGGATAATAAAGTATAGTTTAACTCTTTGTAACATTCTGATGCATGATTTTGTGGATAAATGTTCATATTTATGAAAAACTCTTGAAACATTAAAGGTTGATTGATGGATTTTACTGCAATAACGCTGTAGTCTAATAAATGAACAGGCAGTTGTTTTTGTGATTCAGACGAAAGCTGTAGACTTCAATTTGAACAAATCGGAATATTTAGTTTTAATATTTTAACTCAATGACTGCCATTGGCGTATTTGTCTGAGACCGGTGATTTCTGTCAAACTTCCTTCTATTTGACTGGGGATTACAGAAGAACAAAACTAGCAAAAAACAAACTTATTTTTGCTGATGAAGGTAGACTATCCAGTCTTTCAGAATCTGGTTTCATATTTTACATCAAAAAGAGCTGGCAGTTGATGAGTTAATATACTTCTACCAACCCCTTTTCAAACCAAAGATTTGGTTTGGGGGAAAAAAAAATGCTATAATACTATAGGTATACCTGAGTAAGCAGGGTTTCTTTATGGATAACCTCAGGAAATGAGTATGGTTTTTTTGTTTTTTACACTAGTGTGTATATCAAGATGCAGAAACCCAATGCAGCCATAAGGGACTGTGACAGAGCAATCAAAATCAACCCAGACTCTGCACAACCGTACAAGTGGAGAGGAAAGGCTCATAGGTGAGTAACAGACAAATGCTTTAACCCTTGGTATATTCAATCTGGAAATAGTGAAAAATCCGCACAGCTATGTGCGGATTTTTCACTATATATTAGTTTTTTTAATTCAGCACGCCTTTTTTGAAATCTGATATCTCAGTTAAAACTACGTAGTTATAACTGCTGCAAGGGCGAGTTTTTTTGGCACATTTCTCATTTTGGGCCATTCCATTGTGGAATCATAATCTAACAGCCCTAGACCTTAATAAGTAAATGTAATTCTGACCATACCCCTCAACAAACAGGAAGCACGCCATTTTGAATTTACGGCGAAAATTGTGAGTTTTGCTCACAGCGTATTTTCGACATGTAATAGATTAGAAATAAGTAATTTAAATTTTCCTGGGATTTCTGACAGCTTCATATTGCTCCCCGCAGTGGGAACACGTATTGTAATAAAGGTTCCCTAATTGTATGCATTTGTAGGCTTCTTGGTCACTGGGAAGAGGCGGCTAAAGATTTGGCCACAGCTTGCAAATTGGACTACGATGAAGATGCCAGTGCATTGTTAAAGGAGGTCCAGCCCAAGGTACGGCTGCAGTGGTACCAGTTTTCAAAATGACTTTTGTTTATCATAAACTATTTGTTTATTTGTCTTGTTATACTTTCAGGCTCATAAAATAATGGAGCACAGACGCAAGTATGAACGGAAAAGGGAGGAGAAAGAGATTAAGGAGAAGACAGAGCGGATAAAGAAGGCACGAGAGGAACAGGCGAAGGCTCAAAGGGTCAGTTCTGGGCACATGGAACCGATGCACTACAACCTACAATTGTAATGGTGTCAGTGAAGCATAACTTTGTTTATCATTAGGAGGAAGAATCCAGACCGTTTGGAGGTGGATACTTCCCAGGTTAGACTACTACTGTAATACTTGGTTACTTTCTCTTTGCAATGACACTGTTTTTATATTTAGTCTGGATATATTTGTTAAATATTCTTAAGAAACTGAGTTTATACCTTGTAGGTGGTCCAGGTGGATTTCCAGGTGGCGCTCCAGGTGGTATGCCGGGTTTTGCCGATCTCTTTCAAGACCCCGAACTCCTCAGTGCAATGAAGGTAACTGGATCTACAGTCGCCTATGTGAATGTTAAATGATGAATCCTGGATAGCATTGGGTCCAATCTGTTAGGAGCTGCTGGCTTGCACACTTCACTTCCTGAGCAATAACAGATTTTTCTAAACGTAAGTCACTGCAATACAACTAATTCCCTTTTTCATTTACAGGATCCAGAGGTAATGGCGGCTTTCCAAGATGTCTCTGCAAATCCAGCTAACATTGCCAAGTATCAGAACAATCCTAAAATCATGGCTCTTGTCACCAAACTGAGTGCAAAATTTGGTGCATCACCACAACCCTAAAAAGGATGAGGATTCTGGTTGCATCAAGCCTTTTCTACTATTATGTGCTAACCAGAAGAGCAGGCAGGGAGAAAATTGCTTTTGTAAAGATAAAGGGTGTTTCCCCCCCCCCCCATCCGTTAGAAGAACAAGAGGTTCAAAGATGTAAAATAACAGTTTAATGGATGTGGATCACTGGTTCTTAACCTAATTCTAAACGTGTTATCCTTTCATATCATTAAATGTAACATGGGTCACATGCATCACTCCTAATTTGACCAATTTTATGTTGGCACTTGTTTATTTCTATACTACGTTTGCATCTGTCCCTGTTCGCAAGATGAATAAAAATGCTGTTGCTTCTGTTTCATATTCCCATCTGTCAGAATCATTTAGCTCAATACAATTATAGGTTATTTTAATTTGAATAAGTGGCTTGGACGCCAGTTTTAAAATGAGCCACCCCTTTCCATCCTGCAGATATCAAACCATGGCCTTGTACCTTACTTTGGGAAAATCATTTATTAGTCTATAGTACTTTGCCACCTTGGTCGTGTTTCATTGTCCTCAATTATTTGGCTTAAGTAATGAAAGTTATTTCTATCTGGATACAGACCCTGATTATGCCTTAAGTTTGACAGTCAAACGGGAAAAAAAGTAGCACTTAGGAATCTAAAATGTGGTGCCATCTGCATGTGAAAGCCAGTAACTGTGCCCACTGAGTAGGTCTCCTGTGATGGGAGGATCATCACAGTGGGTCTCTGGGGCGGCACCAAAGTGCTAAATTGTCGGTGTGTCCAAAGGCAAAACACTTTACCCACATTGCCTTGATTCCGTCAAGTCTGCCCCAGAGCAGCTGTGGCTAAAGTAATCACAATGACTTTGAAAGGATGAGATGTAAAATGTCAAGAGTACCCAAAAATAAGCGCTATATAAAAGCAGATACAGAGAGTTAAGATTTATGCTGATCTGTTTTTCATTGAAAAGAGTCACACGTTACACCTCCAGCTGAAACATACCAAAAGGAAACTGTCCAGCCTTTATTACTATATAGAAAAACAAACCAGCACCAAAATACAATTAGTAAAAGGCATTTGAACTTTGGGGCCAGAGTGAAGAAACTAAGACTATGAATGTTGTAATGTGTCTTGCAATATTTTATTTCACAACAGTTTATTTCAACAAGTGAAAAATAAAGTTTAATACCGAAGGTAACAAATGGGGGAGTGGGCAAATGAGTTGACAATTAAAAGATAACAATATAGCAGCAAAGAACTAGTGTCCATATCTGAAAGACAAAGAAAAATGTTAGGCTTCTTTTTCCAGAATCAGAGAAAGGAAAGGAAACATAAGACATACTTCTGAAATTCCCACTCTCTGTTGTCTAATGGGCAAACCTGCCTGGTTTTCAGCCAACGGGAAATGCAGTGGAAGTGGAACGCATGCTGCAAAAACAATTCAATATTTTAACTTTCTGCAGCTGCATGATCTATATTTTGAATAGAAGCTTTAGAAAATAGTTGGACTTACATTGCAAACACCCCAAGCGACGGTGCACTCCTCAGATGTAGCAGAGGCTTGATTAGCTTGACACTCTATACCTGAATAAGATGTAATTTGATGTAATTTACATTACATAAACAGTTATCCATAAACACATTTGAACTTGAGGAAACTTACAGAGGTCCATAATGTGGTTTCTGCAGATTGCACAGTTATCCACCACGATGTCCCATGCCCACAGTGCCACTGCATTCCACTGGTGAGACAAAACAAGATCAGACTAGAAACTTACAGACATCAGTGTTGTTGTTCTAAGTCTTGCTAAATATTTCCATTTTTTACCCAAGAGTTTGTTTAACACATTATATTCCATCCTCTTTCAGAAAGTAAAACGTTAATTTGTGAAGTTAAAAGGGGCAGTGTGTAGTTTGCACTCTTACCGGTTTAAAATCATAATTACAATCAAACTTGTATACAGAATGCCTGTGACACATGCATCTGTTGCTCCAAAGCAATGATTACTCCACCAAATCGACAGTTTTATCCTCCACACATTTTCAAGAAATAATACAGGATAATACAAGAAAAGCCAGTCCGTTGTCATTCAATTAAAAGCTTCCGCAGATTAACGCATCTAACGTTAAAGGCGACACAGCGCAGAGTCAGGGAGTGAACAGTATGGCCCTAACCACGTTAATGGTCGGGGGCAGGTGATAGGAAAATCCAGGGTTACAGTATCGTGTTCCGCAGACTTTGTTGGAGACGTGCATGAGGCTTTCCTTTTAATCGCGTAACAAACACTCTTAAGTGCGCACTCATGCTACTGTATGCTAGCAGCAGCCATCGTGCTGTATTATAGCCGGTAGAAACTAAAGAAAGTGTATACACCAGTGTGAGTCCTACGTGCACATTTCAATTAAAGTTTTAAAGCTACACAAAATCCAATTGAGATTAAAACTATACCTTTTTGACCTCAAATCGTTTCTTACTGGACCCACTGTTCGTTCCGCTCGGAGTATCAACATCCATCGCTGCCGCCATCTTGCCCGAAGACTGCAGGTGACGTAAAGACGTAAATTAACCCGGAAGAAGAGTGAAACAAAAAAAGAACGTTTCCATTTTCAGACCTCAAATAAGTGTATTTTTAATATTTAAATGAACGAGTAATGCAAACGTTGTATAATCTGAAAAACAGAAGCAAAAAAGGAAAAGAACTTAGGTTCCACCGAGATTTGAACTCGGATCGCTGGATTCAGAGTCCAGAGTGCTAACCATTACACCATGGAACCTTGTGCCAGCGCGGAGTTTCAATTTTTTTTAAATAATTACAGACTGACTTTTATGATAAAGGCTGTTTATTTACACAGAAATTACCATATTTGATTACGTCCCCCCACCCAGTTTAGATTACACTTTCTTTATCGGACGTTTATATGTTCGGCTTTTGTCTTTCTTCGTTTTTGAAGCTTTATATGACTTTGTTTTATTTTTTGCTGGTGGAGGCCACTTGCTTGATTCTCGACATGACGCAAACAATTTCACTTTTCTGATCTTTTGACCCTTGTGCTCTGGAGGACTTCCACATATGGCAGAGACATCCAACCTCATGCTGCCAATCCATCTAGAGAGATCGAAAAGAAAAGGATGAGAAAGGCCTCATACTAAAACATACAGATGATACTTTCACATATAAACTAACCTGTACAAAGGAAGCTGTGCGCAGTCACAGTGAAGAGGCATGTCACGCAGATCTACCAACTCAAGACCAGTGAGGAGGTGCAAGTCAGGGAGCACCTTCAGTGGGTTTCCTCTTAATAACAAAGCCTTCAGTCCTGAGCCTAAACCAAACAGAGCATCCCTAGACATCTGCCAAAACAAAAACAAAAAATATAAATGTAAAAAATATTTGCATCACCAAATGCAAACTTGATCATTGTGCATATTGCTGATGAGATTTCATCCAAAATCTGGAAACTCATACACTTTTCAAGCTTCCTGACTTGTATTCAAATGGACCTTTACCTTCTCAGTGCCCATTTCATTCATCTTGAGCTTCTTGAGGGTTCGGGATACCATTTGGAAAGCTTTTGGTTTGACCCACTTAATAAAGTTGTGGGAAAGGTTGAGCTCCTCCAGTTGAGTTGCCTTTGACAGACCTTGGGTCGGCACATCCTTTAGCTGGTTCATGTCCACATGCAGAATAGCAAGGTGTTTGGAGGCAAGAGCATCTTTAGCCACAGCCGTTATGCTGTTGTTGGTCAAATAGAGTTCTCTCAGATATGGACTGGCAGATGACAATAAACCGGAAGGTTCAAGTTTTGAGATGGCATTACGTTCTAAATGGAGGACGAATAAACTAGGAACGTTTTCCAAAGCTGGAAGAAAAACAAAATTTCTCTATTAGACATTTTCATATTTTACCCAATGTTATTATATTCTCAATATTTATCTTAAAATACGATTTCACTTCATTAGTGCTGCACAATAAATCAAAAATATATTGTTATCACACCAATACCATATGCAATATTGATATTGATATATGGATTATTTTTCATGTATATATTGTGCTTTGCTTTCATGCGTATATTGTTTTTACAAAAAAACAGACATTTCTAAAATGTTACAGTACATCAGGAGAGACACATCACACTTATTTCCATGCCTAAATAGATTCATTGAAATTAATCATGGGGTAAATTCAACAATCAAACTTCCTGTATTATATTACCTGTTCCAGGGAACTGCTGTAGCCGGTTTCCCTCCAGGTGCAGGTATGTGAGCTGCGGGGCTCCCTTAAAAGCCTCAGGATCCAAGGATGTGAGATCATTGTCAGATAGATAGAGATAAAGCAGATTCTTCATTCCGCTGAAGGCCCCACCTTCAATCTCATGGATCTTGCAGAGTTCAAGATGGAGAGAAAGCACAGTGCTGGCTGATTTGAAGCTGTTGATGGGGACGTAGTGGAAGTGGTTGTTACGAAGATCCAGTAACTGTGTGGAAGCAGGGAAACCTTTGGGGACTTTAGTGTGACCTCTCCCCTCACAAGAGGCATGTTGACCCTCAACCTGAAGAATAACAATTTGAATAAAGCATACATTGTTCTTGAAATGTCGTTTAAAATTAATTTTCCAAAGGAAAAATCAAATTACCCGTTGTATTTGAGTAAAATGTGAATTGAGTAATCAGTTAATTGATGTAGTTTAAAAATCAGGCTTAATGCCGCTTAATATTATTATTATTGCTCTAAAGAAATGTGTGCAGAAAAGTCAACATCCTCACATTACAGTCGCAGTTTTCAGGACATTGGACTTTTTCCAGGGTTGTATTTGTGGGTTGGGGGCTCGGTGCTTCATCTTTCTCAGTCTCTTCATTCAGAGCCTCCCCTCGACGACAGCGTAGATCTAAAACAGTGACTTTGTCCAGAGGCTCGTCTGAGAGGTGACCTGGTCCTGTGCATGATCCAACCAGCTTCACAGCCTTCCTCTGAGCCCACTGCCTCAACGGCCGCAAGAAGCAGTTACAGTACACACGGTTACCTGGAAATCATATCAAACTCATGAGCTGAGAAAATGATTCTTTTCATTACCAAATTAGTAGTTGTTCGATAATCCCATTCTGCTGTAAAAATAATAATGTAAAAACGGTCCTATAGAACATATCCCTGTCACATTACAATCGTTACTTTATCATTTTGTAATCTAGGTCACCTAATAATCTCATATCTACGGACACTTTGTAATATTATAATCGGTACTGTTGTCTATTGTGTGTTCATTTACAATATTATGCATGCGTGTCTTTAAATACATTTGTGACTATTATATTTGTTATTGCACCTGAACAAAATTCCTATTTGGTGACATCCTGTTCACGGACAAAAAAAAATCTGATTGTGAAATATACACACCTGTGAGGTTGAGGCTGACCAGCTGCTTAGGCCCTGATAGTGGCTCCAAGTAACGGAGCTGATTGTAACTAACATCCAAGTGGGACAAACATGGGGCTTTGGAAAGTGCTTGGTCAGAGAAATCCTGCAGAGACATATGGTTGAGATACAGATGTGTGAGCTTGGCCATGGAGACTGCTTCTTCGCCGAGATAAATCATAGGATTGTGGTCCATGTCCAGACGGGTGACCTCAGAAAGTCTGTGGAGATACACAAGCATGAATTGCTGATTACAAATTACTACACAATTAATTTCTCACAGTTGTCAAAGCTGGAGGGAAAATCACAACAGGTAAAAGTTAAACTAACATATGACACTCATTACACATTCATCCATTTTCTTCCGCTTCATCCGTTGCCGGGTCACGGGGACAGCAGTCTAAGTAGAGACGCTCAGACTTCCCTATCCACACACACTTCCTCCAGCTCATGCCAAATGTAACATGTACATTTTTCCATTGTGGGATCAATAAAGTCACTCATCTTTTAACTGGTTGGCTTCCCATTTTAAGTTGAATTACAGATAAATAAACTTTTGATCATTATTATACATTTTCACCCGTTTGTAATAAAAAAACAGTTTGATTTGGTCACTAGATTTGTGTGTAAAAGCTAAGTTGTTTTCTAATAAGATAAGATGTGGGGTTTGATTTGTTCACAAAATGTCACTTAAACAAGACTATTTCTGTTGGGACAAACACATGTAATTAGGGAATACACAAAGAGTACTCCAGCTTCAATGCTGAAGAATACCTGGTCATAGTCTGCGTTGGGAAAAACTGCAACTCATTGTGATCCAAACTGAGCCGGGTAAGTGTGAACAGACCCGCAAACGCTTCGGGTGCCAGATTGTTCAACGAGTTATGGCTAAGACGCAGCCATTTTATATTGTGAAGACCCTGTGTGAACAATGCATCTGTCATGTACACAGTGGGAATTTGTATTTGATAATCAAACATTCTAGATCCATGTAATCAAACAACAAAGACCTGAAATGCCATGTTGGGTATGTAAACCAGTTCATTGTGAGTAAGTTCCAACATGTTGAGAACACCAAGCTGGGTAAAGGCTCCAGGTTGGATCTCCTCTATGCGGTTATGATGAAGATTGAGCTCCTTCAAGGATGAAAGTCCATCGAAGGACTCCTGGGGGGTAATTGACAATAAAAGCAGAAATACACAGATCCAGTCACCAAGTTGGGAGGAACATGTACCTGAAATAAGATGCCAATTTTGTTGTAGGCTAGGTTTAAGGAGACGAGACGACCCAGGCTCCTAAAGGCGCCCTCCATGACCTTTTCAACGTTACAGCTCTGAAGGTTCAAGTGGGTGAGGTATGGAGTCTGTGCAAAACTCCCTTTAGGAAGAGCCTTCATGTTGTTGTTCCTCAAGTCTAGTTTCACAGTAATCTACACAAATAAAGAGTAAAATTATAAAAAATTAAAGGCAGGGATTAATTTAAGTGTTTGAGGTATCTGTGGAAAAACTACCTCGTCAACAGTTGGGGGAACCTCAGTCAAATTCTTGCCAGCACATGTAACGGTGAGCTTGGTACCATCACAGCTGCACATCCTGGGACATTTCCCAGCCTTAACCAGGGTGAATGTCAGAAGTACAGCCACAGCAACAAAGACGTACATCTGTGCCATTAAATGAAACAGCGATTGGGAAAATTCTCTGGTAAACAAACAGATATTCAAGGGGAAAAGAGCCTTGCTTACCTTACAGCCTGGTAAAGAAGTCTATCATAGAAGAGTCTGAACAAGCATGTTAGTTATCCTGTAAGCCTTTTCTCCGAGTGCCTCCTCTAATACTGAGGTCTTGTAGCCCACAAACAAGACTTTGATACATTCTTCGCAAGTGACCTCTGACACATCCATCCTTCACTGCAAATTAACACCAACTTTACATTTTCGGCTTGAGCCAGTAAACGTCTTCAAAGCTGTAGTAATGCTCCCGTCATTTCCATTTCAGATGCCCTATATTCTTTTAAAAGGGTAGCATTATAAACTGACCATCAATAAAGTCACAAATATCAAATCAATCTTGAAAATTATTTTATTTTAAACATGTGATAACTTGGCTCTTCATCATAATATAATACAACATCCTATTGCATGTTGCATACAATATCATAGCTGTGTACAATATACATTTAAAACATATCACAAAAGATAAACAGATTCATTCACTGCAGCAGTAAGAGTCATTTATACAAAATATGTGCAGCTACTAACCAGAAAACAGGACTAGAACTGTCTTTAACTTCACAATAAGTCCATGGGAGTAGGAGACCGAGGGTAAGCGGTGTAGGTATACTTTAAACACCACTGTTCATTTGTGCATCTTGTGTCCTCAGCTTTGCGACGTCAAAGTGTGCAAAGTTGATAGGAGGAGGATTCTAGCATTTCCACACAGGTTCAGGGATTGGTTGTTTCTAAAATAACAAAAAAAACTGTATTAGTTTACAATCACCTGGATTAAGTTTGTGTTCTAAAAACCTCTTATAGAATTCATTATTCTGTGCGGAATCAACCTGATCCAGTTACAGCCTTTCTCACTGTACTCACCCAAGATGCCATTCAGGCCTGCGGTTGTGGTCAAACTTCCACGCATTTGCATTTAAATGTATGGATTCTATTTGTGGTAAAGAGGTTAAGGCAAAGCCCACAACAAGTACCAGTCTGTGAGGGAAGACCTCTCACATCCATGCCAAAGGGCAGTCGCCTTTGCCTCTCCAATAGCAAGGCACTACTACACCAGGGGTTGCCAAACTTATCAGGCCCCAAAATAGAAATGTAACTGACTTGCAACCACCGCTGATGTAGTCAATTTAAAACATTCTAAATTTCATTTTAATGTTGTGGTCGAGATGATGAAAATAAAATGTGTATCAAAAAATATTCTATAAACAATGTAGAGCTTATTTTTCCAAAATATTTTGTAAATATAACTAGTGCAGGTTAAATTTTGTGTATGGCCTTATGTAGAATAAAACACTGTGGGACAGATAAAGGATCTCTTAATCTTAAAACAGAATACAATAAAAGTTTGCATAATGACACATATGGCTGGGACCAATACTGTATGACCCTGGGTTATGATTCTACATCCACACAATATTTAACCGCCACTAGATTAAACAATTACAGTATTTGTAGAAATGTATTGTACACTGTTCTAGGAACAGAAACTGTCTCCTAAAAAGAATTGTGGGTGAGAACAAGGATTTATTTCCAATGCTAGCTACACCACCCCTTGAATCAGGTGGCAGGGACTAAGACAATGTTATACCTGGGAGCTTTGTTGATCCACGTCCTTACCGGGACATGAAGGCCTCGAGCACAGCTACATTTTCTTGTGGGAAGTAATCTTGTTGAACTACGTGTTCTAGGACCTGGAGGTGTCCTGGGACCACTGTAACAGGCTTTACTTTATCCTCACTCTTTAAGAAAGAAAATGTTGCATGGAACAGACATACAACATGTAATAAAATCAGATATGGATAATGGATAAATACCTTGATCAGCCCAAACAGGATTAGCAGCGATGATACAAAGCTATATCCCTGGAACGAGGTGTTGGAATAAGCTTTCCTGAGAAGTGCATCTGTAAGCAGATTCCTTCAGGCACCATTCCAAATAAATAAACAATACTCCTGCATCTAACAGTCTTACCAACTATGTCCAAAACAGCATCCTTCACTTCTGTGTTGTCGTCCTTGTAAACAGAAGATATTTTCATGAAGGCTTCTGCAGTTTTCATAGTGTCTGTCAAATCCACCTAAATACAGAACACGGTGATGTCGCTGATGGAGCTGTATATTAAACGGTTTGCTGCTTCATTGTTTACCCGCTGCTCAATCAGATAGGCTCTTCTGTCACCAAGTTTTAAGAGTTTGTCAGGTGAAGGAAAGCTGAGGAAGGAGGAGACATCTGGAAGCTTTGGTGCAGAGATGGGTGTGGAAAACTTGGGCAAGAGGGGAGAAAAAGAACATTATTTCATAATTCTACAGCAAAAGATATTAGATTTAGTCTAACCTTCTCTTCCTCCTCGTCTTCATCTTCATCATCATCATCATCCTCCTCCTCCTCCTCCTCCTCCTCCTCAATTTCTTCTTCATCTATATCATCTTCTTCCTCATCTTCATCATCTTCATCTTCATCATCTCCCGGTTCACCTTCATCATCACTTAAAGGAGACATACTCAGTCACCAATCAGACTCATTGTCCAACTCGGGGGTGTTTTTTGATCCCTGTATAAAGTTTTTACCTCAGAGACCCTAAAAGCGGAGCCATGTTCATTTCCTCCATGGCCTCCTGCACAGCGCTGCACCCGTCTTCTCCCAGGCAGTTTCCTTGAAAGTGAAAGTTGAAAAAAAATTATAATATTTGAAGAAAATTCTCACCATGTGTTGGAATCTATCTCAGAGATGTACCATTGAGGTCGAGTTTTTCCAGCGTGTCTTTGTGTTTCACAGCTTCTACAACTTTCAGAGCAGCCTCTTCTGTGATTTCACAGAAGGAAAGATTGAGTTCCTAATTATTAAAACAGGGGGAGAGAAGTTACATAATTAAAATGAAAACATTTAGCAAATTGGGGAACCCAACATAATGATTTAAGATTAGGGTTAGACAAACTTAATATAAAGAGCGACAGAAAAGATCAATCTTAGCAATGCTACTTTGTGGAGAAGTCGATCAGTTTAACAGCACCAGTCCAGACCTTAAGAATGGGAAGTCCTTCTGATACAGTGTCTGCGATTGCAACAGCTCCTGCAGGACGCACCAGACAATCCCCAAAGTTTATCACCTGAATGCTGCTTAGATGTTTCAGAGCCTGTGGATAACACACAGAACATTATCACAATAGTCTTGTTTCCACTGCAGGCGTTCCTGGTAAAAGGAGGGGGGTGGAACCTCTACAGGAACCGTCCTCTCACTCTGTCAGTGGTCGTTTCTCCACTGCAGAGTAGGACCACTCAGCGACGTCATGAGTTTTGATCGCCTCATAAGCAAAACTCATTACGCCAAACCCATTCATTTATTTTACGGTCAGAACCGCTCCGGTTGTTGTGGTCTTTGAGTTTTTTTATAGTCCTGCATCTGTTTTTTGTTTTAGAGTGTGATGAATCCCCAGTGCTTTGATGCGTCTTAATATATCTTTTCATTAAAACCCCCTCTCAATCAATGCATACACCTCATAATTCGTCAATTTATCATACATCTGGCTGATGTTGATTGTCGTCTCTAGTGGTGTCTGCTAAGCAAATGCTGCTGGATTTTTTAAAATGCTGGTTGTTTTGGTGTTTTCTGCTGGCGTCAGAGAGGCCAGCTCTAGCTTTAGCCAATCAGCACCTAGTTAACCCTCAAGCCCCACCGAACGGAGAACCTAGCATGGAGGAGGTACTCCGTTGGGCCCCATAAAAGTTCCTGTAAATGGCCCTCTGGAGGTGGTTCCTGCAGTGGAGACACACACTAACGGGGCTGGCCCTGTAAAATTACCCCAAAGTTCCTGCGGTGGAAACGCTGCTTATGTGTCAAACACTCAATTTACCTGCGCCATGGCGATGCCACCTTTGTCAGTGAAGGTGTTATCATTAAGATTGAGGATGCGTAGATTTGGATTGTGCTGAACAGCTGTAGCCAAGGCCGTTACACCAGGGTGGTTAATGCCATTCTGGGGCATGTGAATTTCCTCCAAACTTCCCATTAGCTGAATAAAACAGGGCTTATTAAAACACAAAGGTATTCTGTTAAAAAAAGCAAATTGTAATAACAAACCTGAAAAGCCTGAGCAAGGGCAATTGCACCATCGTTCTCTAGCCGGTTGCGACCCGCGACAAACACCTTCAAGCGCAATGGGCAGCCCTCTGCACTTGAGCCTTTGTGGCAATCTGTCAATGCAGCTGCCAAGATCTAGGTAAAAATCCAAACACAACCTGTTATATAGATAGATGCACCATTTAATTTTGCATGCATTTAAAAGCATTACTTTTCCTCCTCCAATGCCCATTCCACAATTATTTAATCGTAGCTCCTGCAGAGTATAACAGGCACTACTCTTGAGCAACTTCTCAATTCCTTTCACTCCATCAGGTCCAAAGGCATTGTCACTCAGGTCTAACACAGTCAGCCTTGCCCCTGCCAACATTAATGCATCACCAAGAGAATTCTGGCAAAAAAGAAAACAATGTAAGTTTAGTACTTTTTTTAAAATCAATAATAAAATTAAAGTAAGTCTTTACCAAGGCAGGTGGAATCTCAGAACGAAGGCGGCCAGTAAACATGTCACTCCAGTAACATTGCTAAAATGAAAATAATGAATTGTTTTATGAAGACTTCTCACTGTTCAATCTAAATGGAATATAATTGTAGTCTCTTTATGATTGAACAGCGAATCATCAGTAATGTTTTGCAATTTTCTCTTGATCAAGTGTGTATAACTTTTAGTCTCAAACTTGAAGACAAACCTTAAATGTGCTTTTTGTTTCCAAAGCTTTAGCAATGGCTTGTGCCGCCTCCACACCGAATGTGTTTCCTTCCAGACGCAGGGCCTGTAACCCTTCAAAGTCCTGGATCTCTTTTACAATCTCCTCCACTGCACAAGAGCGATGCCCATATCAAAGTAAGAAACAAAACCATATTTTTTCCCTCCTAATATAAAGATCAATGCCATACCCGACTTAGCATCATCCAACTTCCGACCCTGGCCTTTGTAGCTCAGCTCCCCTTCCTCTACTCCAGTCTTGGCCAGAGACTCAGCGAGCTGTGAAACAACATCTGTCGCCATGGTATCACTGAAGGAGAAGGGGTATACGATTTTATTATGTTAATATGCAAATATAGTTGCAAATATTGAGATTTGAAAATATCCAAATAACTCATCTCAATATTTGGCACAATATATATCACATTTTTATATTATAATGCAATATGTTAAATCATTGTTCCCAGTTTATTACATGAATTGCAACCAGGTAACATTGTACCTGGATGTGATTGATCATGTAATAAACTAAACTAAAAATATATTAAAACATTAATAACAATCTATATGTAAAAAGAGTACAATTTAACTGTATGTCCTGCCTCAGAAGTTCAGATCAGTTATTAACAAACATTGCTGCTGCAAGCACGCGATCAAAACAATGTCTAACAATTGAATTATTGTAGATGCTAGGTTCTTGTTGTGAGGGGTTAAACATGGAAGTAGCAACGTCTAATTCTTTTATAACGGAGCATAACAGACACAGACACTTGCACGTTAGCTCGCTAGCCTTGGCGAGAATGAGGCTCGAGCTCGACTCGGCCTTTTAGCCAATGATGATTTAGCTAGCCTAACGAGAGCTAGCTAGGCTGAACCATCGTGGGCTAAACTAGTAGATGACATGACGTACTGCACAACTGCAAACCGCTCTAACACATGCAGTGGTCTATTTCTACATGAAAACCCTCGTAACTTGGCGTAATCCAATACAATGCTGTGTAAAATGCTGCATACGGAACCTCCACAAGTGAAACTCACACTAGTGTCACTGACACCCACAGTCCCGCTCGTTCAAAACCAAACACAGCGCAAGGACCACAAAGTGATGTGGCAAGGGAATTGTAGTCCAAAAGAACTACAAATGGCCATTAATGTAATTTTAAAGAAAATCAGAATGTGGAACATCTCAAATGGAAAATATGTATGTACAGAATAATGTTAATGTTTGATTTTTGATAATATTACTAACGTGGTCGTAACCTAAACGAGTTCCAGCGATATTTCCGCGATTTAAAAAAAAAGGCTAGAGAGCTCACCCTGAGTGGTAACGCTTAGAATTACGTTTCCAGAATTATTATATGCACAAGTCAAATGCAATTGAGTGTCGGTGAGACAATGAGACAATTTGTTACACTTAACAAATCAATGCATAGGCGTGTTCTGTATTATTTTACTTGATCTTTCGACGTTTTGACAACCCCAAAATGTCCGCAATGACGATCCAAGATATATCTAGATTTTTCTGTATTCTTGCGACTAGCGAGTCCACATGAACTTTAGTGAAACGAAACTCAAACGGGGAAGTCGAGACACGACAGTAAAAACACTTTAGCTGCTCATAACACTGGCCTCGAAGCATGCTTTCTTATATTTTTGAAGGAAAGACGTAACCATCTCAAGGTAAGCAACTTAGGTGTATCTAAAGTTATAATCTTATAGCATAGCTGCACGAAAAGCCTTCGCGATGAAGACATGAGATTTAATGATTTAGTTTATATTAGTTTGATTTACTGAAGTATTGCATGTACTAAATGTGTCTATGTTATGAATATACACGTGTGGGTTTTTGCTCTAACGTGTTGTTTGGTATGTCCTAAGGAACTGCAGCATGGACTCAGGGAGGCTCAAACGGAAAGAGGAGATCAACAAGGCCCTTACATTCATACAGTATGGAGATATTATTGCTCTTCTTTTGAATTGGTGCATTTTGTCTAATGATGTATTTGTTTCGCAGGTCTTCATTGGCCTATCCCGAACCTGAAGGCTATCAGGTACCAGCATTTCTCAGACAATAAAGAAATCTTGTAGTAGTATAGTGGTTCTCAAACAGGGGGGCTGGCATTCCGAGGATTCCTTGGGCGATTCCTCCCCCATTGATGATTTTTATTAATTTATACTAATTCATCAAGACCTTTTGTCATAGATAACTCTTTTCGAAATACAAATGTCCTCAAAATGTTGTAACTAACTGGAAGCTAGAACTCATAAATACAGACAATTGTGTTTGTGAAAATGTTTGACGAGGATGTATACTGGGCTTCTCAAGTTGACTATTATTACAGACATCGAGACATTTTGTCAGTGTTCTTTTTCTGTCTCAGGATTTTTTGACTGGATTGGTGTGCAACCTCCTTGAAGAAGGAAATGTGCTGTTCGAAGAGAGAGCCTGGGAAGAGGCTGAGAAGGAATACAGTGAAGGTGTAAATGTTTCTCTCTATGCTGCCTCCGAAGACCTGCACTTGCCTGAAGTTCTATTGGAGAGCTTATATGTGAATCGGGCTGCTGCATATTATAATATGGTGAGGCACAAGCATTTACCTCTGTTCTCTTTATGTTGTATTTTAGAGACAAAGAACAAGCAGGTTACCTTCTTAAAGTACGTGATTCCGTTATCATCTCAAGCCAAGGCCAAGGCCAACTCTTCATTCACACCACATCATTGTTGTGTCGTCTTTACTCATTTTATTGATATTAAAATTATTAACAATAAAATTATTCTGCCGTTCCAACATCAGCACAGAACACTATAGAGAGGTTCAGGTGGGTCGCCTGGGGACCAGACTCTGTACGGGAGATAATTTTTTTAATACGTTTTTATTGAAACATGAACAGAAGTCTATTTGTTTTAACATCAAGAATTGTCCAGGGATGAATGAGCACAGAACACTCATTGGCAAAAGAAATAACATTTTAAATTTTCATTCTTTTTCATTATTCTGGCAACCAACAACAGTACAAAAATATATAAACCTTATATAATATATACACCTTATAAGCTATACTTGCAATACAATAGCTTTATAATGTGTTGGTTCCTCAATGCATTCATGGTATGACAGGGGCAAATCTACTATTGTCAGAAATATTTCTATTCTAATCAGTCCAATATTTTGTCCTTTTTGTAAGTCCCTTCTTTGGGTTTTACTGTGGTTGACAACCAATTAATTGATCGTTACTTTTGTTTTTGTTTTGTTAGTCCCAAAAGATGTGAGTCTGATTCCTAGTTTTACCACACCCCCCTCCAACATAGTAGTGACGATGATAGGCAGTGTTCTGTATTTACCATACCAATATACAGTGTTTTGGCCAAAATCCTCTTTTTAATTAGGTCAACAAAAAATCTTCACCTTTTTTAAGTATTTCCAATTCATTATTCAAAGCGTTGTGCCTTTTCTCAAGATATGTGAAGAAAATATAGTTTGATCATGTTTGTTGTACATGCTTGCATTCTGATGTACATTCTTATGGTGCTTTCAGACCGCAAACGCTCAAACGCTGAAGCCCCGCTCACCAGACGCACATTCTCTAGTTTTCAGACGCAGGGGTCTTCACACCAGAACGTCCTGACCAGTGCCAGAAGTGGCGGAAGTAGCCGGCCGGCTCTGAAGCTAACAGAGTTTAGCTAGCGGCTTATTGTGTAAAGATCTTCTCCAATAATGCAGCTTGGCAGGGTGTCTGTGTTCAGAGACCTTCCACGGACTTTATATAACAGTAGTATGTGTTCACGGAGGTGCGCAATAAGTTTATTTTATTATTAAACTGTACTTCCGCATCGGCGAACACACTCGAAGCAGTTGCATAAAGTCACGGGAGCATGACAACGCATATGTTCACAAGCGCTATGTCCCCCATTGTCAACCCTGGTTTTAGTCCAGGTGTAGCTCCTGTTTTGGCTGTGTACAGTATGTTCAGTCTGCTCGCTCAGACCACTAATGTCCCCGTGACCACTTTGCGGCTCTCTGATTGGTCGCTGCATGAACGTCCCGAGCAAAGATTATCTCCTGTGGGCGTCGATTTTCCGCTCCTGCTCCTCCCCTTCGACTTTCTTGCGCAGTCCGTGCGTCTCTGCTGAGCAGTCCGTTCGTGCGTCCCGAGACGTTCGTGCGTTTTGACGCTCAAACTCGTGTCACCATTGACTTTGCATTGAAAGCCTGATCCGAATGATCATGATCCGGTCTGAAAGCACCATTAAAGTTGTAAATTTGTATGGTTGATTCTATATCTATACAGATATAGAATCAACCATAATAATTTACAACTTTAATGGTAAATAAATATTATCTATATAACACATATACCGTACTAATGTTTTCCTAATGCATTATTAAGGCATCATTATTTCTAATCTCTAGGGGAAATATGAAAATGGCGTTCTGGACTGTGACAAAGTGCTCCTGGCATGTAAAGAAAGTCGTAAAGCTCTGTTCAGAAAGGCTCTCTGTCTGAAAGCGCTGGGGAGACATAAGGAGGCCTACACCTGCACTAGTGACTGTCTGCTCATCAATCGCATGGTAAAGCACATTTACCAACTTCATTGGTCGCTTATCTTACTATCTGTTATTTATCTTTGGTGGTCTGTGTTTTGGAATGGATGACTCTGGTAGAGCTGCACACAACTGAGCTTGGGGAATCCGTACATGGGACACATGCTAGACATACAAGTCATAAGAAATTTGGTTGGTTTTACATTTAGATTGATTGATTTTACTTTTCTTTTTCCAGTTCTCACTGTGGGACATATTAAGGGACACACTTAGGTTGACTTAATAAAGTATCTCCCCAATGTCTTTATCCAAGGCAAAGTGTTTTCTTCTGTTGTAGTTTGTGAGACACAGTGATAAGTCTAGAGCAGCAGTTCTCAAAGTGGGTAAAAAACATAAATTACATTGTTGCATAATTCAAATTTGACCAGGAAGCAAGACCAAGGAAATCCAAAAGTTTAATTCAAAGATTTATTTTCCTGCTACAATAAATGTTCATAAGATAATCTCTCCCCGCCCTGTCCCTCTCTAAACCCGAGCTTACTCTGAGGGTGCCCCTCAGTGCTTTCAATGTATTCAATTTTCCCTCCCCCACAAACATGCTGATTTATCTTCTCAAACAGGATGTCCAGGCACTGCTTTTGGGGCCCCCAGTCTGTAGTCTTCTGTCTTTACTACAACGGTTATTTTCAATGAAAACGCATCAAATAATGATAATCTGATAAACAACAATTTCAATAAACAAATGCACATCAACACAAATGATTACTTCTTATTCAGGAGGGCTCAGACTCATCAATAGGAATAATAATACAAATAAAACCATTTAAATGTACGGATTAATCCACATCTACCATTTCATAAATTGCAGGACAATCAAGTGAACGAGCTTGCACAGGAGTTGGCTGTTCAACTGGGGCTGAAGATCCGTAAACCTTATGTCAGCGCAAAGGTGAGAGTTCTGATTTGTGTACTCAACGTCAAAACTCCGCTGTTTTGAATGTAACAAATCCCTATTTAATGACTGTTGATTATTATGGTTTGTTAAGTACAACTACAATGTGGGATTTTGCACATTTTGTAATTTTTTAACTACAACAATGTTATTTTAGATTTATAACTGACAGACAACTATGAAGCCAGAGCAAAATTATGTTAAAATGTTTTTTCTTGTTGCAATCACAGCGGTCTTGTGAGGTTTGACTCCTTTTATGGCTTAAAAAATCTCAATCTATAAGATTAAATGGAGAATGTTTTCAGGTCTCTTTTTGGTCTTTTATTTTGACCTGGACATTGACTCTGCCATTCCATTCATGTTTTTAGCTCATTCCATTGTAGAACGTAAACTCCGGTCAATTATCATTTACCTACATGTACGTCTGTGTCTGATCTTAGTGGCTGCCGTTACCTCGGTTGTATTCAGCGAGCGGGGAAAGCGGGGGTGTCGGTGGTAGGTGTCGGTGATGTCAAGAGTTTGCGCCGATTTTGCTGGTTGTAGTTTGGTAATTGCTGCGAATGCGATAGTAAAGGAAGCCCTTCAATCTATTTTGGTTTGGCTCCCAAATTTCAAGAAATTGAAGCCGGAGCAAGAGGAATGTTTAGAAAATGTCATTGCTGGCAAATATGTTGTGGCTCTACTCCCTACGGGCTTAGTTAGTGGCAAAGGAGATGGCTGAAGCTAGGCTAAAGTCTAAATGCCTCACTCACGAGAAGTACATACGTCACTGTATAAACTCAGATTCAAACGTTTCAATCTGCAAAAGGAGTTTACCCCTATCACCTGTTAATGGAGCTCACTACTACTATAGACCAGGCTAAAGTGGGATCACAAGAAGTTTCTTTCTTTTATCTCTGCATCACCATCAATCCTTTGTGCCTTTTGCTCGGATCATCATTGAAAGGTGCACCTTTTGTGTTTTTTATTTATTTAACGAAGGTCACATGACTCTTTGTTCCCTCCTCTCTCTGTCTGCAGAAGCCAGGACACTGTACATTTTGTTTTTATGCATTTCAGGGTCCAGATTCTGCAGGGAATGGAACAGGTCTTGCCCCTGTTACGCAAGGTAAGAAAACGAATCTAATGTTCATTATTGGAAGAAGTTACATAAATGTCACCTTTTTTTTTCTTTCCAGACTGAACTAAACTTCAAATTACTAATTTTGTGTTTTGTTAGAACATTTTTCCAACCTCGAGGACTCTCTGCTCTCAGCTCAGGGCGACACTCAGACGTCCGTTGTGCCAGAAATACCTGATGATTCTGATTTGATGGGAGATGAGTTGGACATTTTACTAGACGCTTTACCAAATGAGACGGAGTCAAAGGTGAAAAGGAACTATGAAAATTCTAAACGCTGTATTATACTTTAGTCTGAAGTTGAAATTAATCATTCATTAATCCTTTACAATACTTGTTGGACTATGAAGCACACTTGTATACAAGCTGCACCTGCCAAATTTGAAAAAGTAATTTGTTTACATCTATAGGACAATAATATAAGATGCAGGTTTTCATACAAACCTAACAGGACTCATTTTTTCAAGTGAGTCCAGTCTTAACCTGTGAAATGGGTGGAGTCTGGTGTGCTGCAAAATCCTGCAGCCACACTGGCTCTTTCTGCACTCAGTTTGAACGTTACACCAACAACTGATGTCTCAAAACAAAGCCGATAGACGACTGTTGTACCTGGATGCATTGTTGACTCGTGATGATCAAAGCACTCCTGTAAATCTACTTGGACAATAAACTTGCTTCTCATCGCTACGAGTACTTAAAGATTCAAAACTGTTTTGTAGTCCAGCAAGTACTGTAATTGTTTTTTGAGCCTTATATTGACTCTTACTTCTATGATCGCAGAATTAAATTAAAATGTGTTTACAAAGTTATTTAAATCAAACAATCCAAAGTGTAACCAGGGGCAGCTTTGTTTTGGTCAAATGTAAATCCCAGATCAAAACAACTAATTGATTAATTGGCCAACAAATGGATTTATCAAAAGAATCATTAATTACAGCCCTCTTCATAAGGTCTGATAAAGCACGAGGGAATGCAGAGTTGTTATTAATGAGTTTATAGCTGTTCCAGAAACGGATTGCAAGTTTTGAAAAGCATCTCCTCATGTACACTATGTCTTCCGTAGAAGGCTCTCTATTTGACTGTCTCTATTGCCTTTATATTTTACAGACCCTGCCCCAGGAATGCTCTGCTTCTGGCCTCGAACCCCTGACTAAACACACTGTATCTTCTGCTTTACCTTTGCCAACACCACAGCTACCACCAGCCTTCTTCAGCTCAGCCGGCTCGCAGCTCAACCTCCTCGACTCCTTTGCTGGAAGTGGGAGTCCGGTCCCTACACTGGATGCTCTTGACGATGTTTTAACCGCTGATAATTTATGTGCCTTAGACATAGCCAAAACAAATGTATCTGGGACTGCAAATGCCATCACACAAAACTCCCTGTGCGATCTTGACTTATTAGATGACCTTCTGCCTTCAAAGACCGTCGCTGTGGTAGAGGCTCCTATAGCAAAGAATGGGATTGCAAATTATATTGTTGAAGCTTTGGAAATGCCTTATAATCTTAATACAAATGGTCTCAATTGTGAAAAAGGATTCAAAGCGACGGATTGCCTTGATTCTCTTGATGCTTTGGACCTATTTCCCTCAACTGAAGATGGAGGAAGATTTGGTGTCAAATTAAACGGTACGATTCACTTGCTTAAATCAATATAACGTTTTGCTTTTCATGTTCAAATGGGGAGTGGAGTAATGGATAGAATCACATTTAAATAGCACATCATGGACGGGTCCCCAAAAGGCAGAGGTTTCATAATGCAACCACACAATTGTTCACTCTTCAAGATTTAAGATTTTATTTGCCATTTGCAGTAAAAGCACATTTGAAAAACTGCAAGAGTAATCCAGAGTGCATCAGGATAGCACAGGATAGTGCCATTTTTCCAGTCTTAACCAGCGGTGTCAAACTAGTTCGAAAAAGGTGTGGCTGCAGGATTTCCTTCCAGACGAGCAAGAGCACACCAGACTCCACCCATTAGCGCAAGTCTAAAGGTTAAGACTGGGTGGAGTCTGTGGAATGAAATCCTTTGAGGACCAGTTTGACAAGACATCTTTAATATTGGCCATTTACCATTATGGTTTTCAGACTTTAGATCATTTATAACATCAAATGTTTTGGTTTCATGTAAAAGAATTCTTTTCATTTCAGTTAAATCTGGTCACAACATTTCACCTCCGAAACCGCCAATAAACGAAAGACGCCGTTCACCAGACAAAGCTTTGACCTTGACCCATGACTTTATGCTGGCATGTTCAGCTTGTTTCCCTCGAACAGGTATGTTGTATAGCGTGTTCTTCAGTTCAGTTGCCCCAGTGCTGGTGAAATGGGAAAACATAAATGTGATTTTTATGCACTAATACACATTATGTCTCCCTCACCTTATAGGGAAGGGGATTTACACATTTGTTCACAAGCAGGACCTCGTGCACAGTTGTAAGAAAAACATTTTGCTATGCAGAGAAAAGGACAGTGTTTTACCATGGACCAGAGTGCGACCAATACCTTCATGGACATCTTTTACTGGACCATTTGTACTTTGCAGAGGTAAGACTGCGGGTCGCAAATTTAAACATATTTCTCAAATTCAGTTTGATAATTAAGAAGTTTTTTGCTCAGTCTGTCTTTTTTTTTTTTTTTATACGCGTACAATTCTAATGCAATAAATCCATTATCACCTAAAATTAATTGAATATTGGTTTAAATATATGCAATATTATCACATCTAAATAATTTACTGGTTCTGTGAAATAATTCATTTTAAGATTTAACAAATTGATCGATCAAATTGTTTATTTAAAAAAACAAAATAAAATAAACATATTATATATAATAACAAATGCATTGTTTCTAATATTATTAGATGAAATATGTAGTAATAAGAATACACTTGTGGTAATGTATGTTTGTGTGCTCACATGTTTGTATTTATGTTTAGGACCCCCTCGAAAATGAGATGATTCATCTCATGGGGATTTCCTTAATAAACTTAAACTTAATGTGTCCAGAACTACTGAAATCAGGAGACCTTGGTTTATGTAAATATGGAGAGGATTGCACGTTCGCTTTTAACCAGTATGAGATTGACGTTTGGACGGCGGAGAGGAAGGGGAAGTTCAACCGTAAATCGCTGTCTGGAGTTTCATCAACGAAGCATGGACCCGTCGACGGAATTCTACACATTCTACAAGAACACAAGGGAATGTTCATCTTTCTCTGTGGGGTACGCTCAGTTTTACAAATACAAATTATTATTACGGTTACCAACTGTAATTACTATATACTTTGTCACTAAATATACCGTTTTATTATTTAACTTTTTAATATTTGTCTGTAGGCCTGCTATGACCGTAAACCCACCATCATAAGTCACCGCAGTAGCATTGACAATACCCTCTGCTCAAACTCCAGTGCCCATCACCCGTTTGACACCAATAAGTACTTTTCCCGCCTGAGAAAAAATTCTAATGGAGTTGTAGTGAGGCATTTCTAACTGCTCTGTGTGACAGGTGCTTGGCGTTTCGGATCAGGAACATAACGGTGAGGTACAGAAAGGTGCGGCCGCTTCACATGCTGTGCCAGCTGGACCTGTGCCGCCATTGTATCAGATACGGATGCCTGTTGGGCGACGAGTGCATGTTTGCCCACTCGGATGTTGAACTCAAAACATGGAGGCTACAGAGAGAGACAGGTCCTCTATCATTGTGTTCAACATATGCTATATTTCTGATATAAACTGAAAGTATAATGCTATTTATGTTACACAGGGACTACACCAGATGAGATAGTGAAGGTATCCACCAATTACTATGATAAACTAAACAAAACTTCAAGCAGCAAAGATAAAGACCTAAAAGTAAGTCACGCTATAAGTCTTGTAATGTCTCATTATTTGCGTGCTGTGTGCTCAATCCTACGGTCTGTAACTTGTGATGCAACACTGAAATTTCCCCACCGTGGGACAAATAAAGGAACTCTTAATCTTAATCTTGATCTTAATCTCGTTTCAGCAGCCTCTGGGTCCAGGGAAACCAAAAGGGGGAAGACCTAAGGACAGTCTCAACATGAGGATGAGGTTTGTCTGTGGTCACTGCTGGCGTGATGGAGTCACATCTGATCCAGATAAGGCTCTAAAGTATTGCTCAAGCAAAGCCAAACATTTGTGAGTACAATGTAACCCTGCGACACAAAATATACTTAGATATAATTGTTTATGGGCTTCTTACTGGTTGTTTTTGTATTCTGTTCAGGTGGACTAAGGACAAAAGAATATTGCTGGTGAAATCCTTGGAGAAAAGTAAATGGATTATGGTTCGGACACTTCCACATTGCAAACACTTCCCATCGCACTATGATGTACGTAAATACAAGTTTTAAATTCAGCGTTAATGGCTGGTCGGCCATGTTTGTTTGAAATCTGTTCTGCAATGGTTCTGTTGTAGATATGCCATAGAATTCTGAACAGAGGAAAATGTAATGTTGGGAACTGTACATTTGCACACAGTGAAGAGGAAAAGGATATGTGGACTTATATGAAGAATAATACATGTAAGCAAATGGTCTTTCATTATTTCTAAAAAGTAATATTACATTTTTATTTAAAAAAAAATATTAACCAATAGTTTGTATTTATTCTTTGCAGTAGTGGACATGCAGCAAGTGTATGACTTGTGGCTGACATTAAGCACTGTGAACCATCAGAACGAACCGGCTGCTGCCCAGCCCTCTGTGGAAGAGAAGTCCATTGTAATGCCCACAGACTACGCTGAGCCAATGGTTTGTACACAGTGAATCTGCTCCTTATCAAATAAAGCCAAATTCTCAGTCTACTCCAATTTAATGTTTTATGTGCACAAGGCATGTAAAACTGTGCGCCAATTGAGATGTGAAGGACCAGTCCGTTTGGAGGAGCTGGTGCATGCAGATTCTACTGCAGTTCACCTGCATATATACGTGTCCATCAGATTGGAATGAGACATCAGGCATATACCCTTGGGTTAAAATGACCCGCCACAGATGATTAAAATTAGAAGAAAAATATCCTAAATTAGGCCCTGTAAAAGCCTGTATTAAAAGCTTGTATTAGTAATGTATGTGTGTGGATAGATGTGTAGTTTTGTTGTATTGTTTTGTTACGTAGAGCAAAAACAAAACAGAAGTCATGCTGCTTTTAAGAGGTCTGCAGAAATTCCATTGTTTATGCTGCAGCAGCCGAGAGTGTGAAACCCAAATGGCCAAAGTAAACGTAATGTTGAGATATCCTTTGCCGAGCGTTTGCTTATAATGAATGTATAATGGCACATAATAGTCTGCACGTTCTGTAGCTCTAAGCCAATCGTAAGAATTCTAAATGTTTACGTATTTCGAGTGGCAGAAATGGAAGGGAAGAAGCAAAAAAGATGTTTGCGCAACGGTACCGAACAATAACTGCTGTTTGTGCAAGTTAAACATTAGGGAATTTAGCTTTGGCGTCATGTTGGATCTGTAAACTAGCTTCTGTCTGTCCAATAGTACGTTATTGTCTTGCCGTTCCTCTCTGCATTTTGTTTGGTTCTCAAATCTTTGGTGAGGGTTCCCAGGCTGTTGTGCTGCTGTTTTGAGTGCACACAGCAGCATAGGTATTAAGATAAGAGATCCTTTATTCGTCCCACAGTGAGACATTTCAATGTTGCAGTACATATACAGGACAGTAGTAAGATCACACAAAAAATTACTAAATCAGTTGTATATATGTTTCTTAACTAGCTGTAAATACTGTAAATGCTTCAATACCCAACTTTAAAAGAAGTGACATTGTTCAGTGGACATTCTGAAGTTGCAGTATTGCGCTTCGCTCATGATTTTAGTATTTACTTATTTACAGATGAATGACTACAGGCTCAGCAGATCTCATTGTACAGTTTAACAGCAGCAGGAAGGAAAGACCTACAGAACCTCTCCTTCACACAGCGAGGATGAATTAGTCTGTCATGCATTCCCATGTTCGTTGTGAGGATTGCCTTTGGTCTAGGGCAAACTTATTTTGGTTGAGGGCCGAAAAGAAAATTAAAGGGCCGTTCAGGGGCCGAAAGAAGTGGGTTTCATTTTTTATACTTTTTATAATATGAAGGTATCTATATAAATGACTTGTTTCACATTAGTTAGACTGGATATTCTTTTCTGAATAGATTTAGTTCAGTTCCTGTGGACTGGACCAAAACTGGACCAAATATTGAAGGTTAATGTGAAGATTTTCTACTTCCGGGTGGATCATCAGACTATTGGTCCTCCCAACTGTCAATCATTCTGGTAATTTGTGCTGGTCAAATAAGACCAGGGGCCACTGGAAATGGTCTCGCGGGCCGGATCTGGCCCCCGGGCCTTGACTTTGACACCTGTGGTCTAGGGGATCAGGAAACGCCAACTTTCCTTTCTGATAACGTCTGGCTATTTGAATCATAAGGACTGGATATGCTTTAGAAATAGTTTAATAATGATCAACACATATTCAATCTTAGAAACATGACCTTTAGTTATGTTAAAAATTTAAAAATGGCCAACTGTGTTTTAAATGGATAATGCATTTTTGTTTAGGACGGGTTTCACTGCAGACTCTGTGGTAGACACAGCAACAGTGAAAGACAGTGGCAGCAGCATATCTCCAGTGAAAAGCACAAAGATCGTGTCTTCAGTTGTGATGAAGAAGACAAGGCCCTGACATGGAACTACCGATTCCCAGCTACTTGCTTTGACCTATGCCCAAAGTAAGACTTTAATGATTTCTACCTGTATTAAAGTCACTGAAACTGAAATACATGCAACACTATTAACTGCATTTATTTTTCAGGTTAGATGACACTTGTCCTGATGGTATGAGCTGTGACTATGCCCACAGCCTAGAAGAGCTGCATGAGTGGATTGAGAGAAGAGATTTTCTCAGGCGTAAACTAGCTCGAGCTCGGGAGGACATGCTCATAATGCCAGATGAGACTGACTTTGGAAAGTACAACTTCCTTCTGCAAGATTGAAATTAAACTAAATTGTCTGAAACGATCACTGCCATTGTCTAATTAGTAAACAGGGATACTACAGGGACATTATTATGGACGTTTTTGTTGGCACAAGACAGGTTCATATGTGTATAAAATGACTAAAACCAATTGGAATTTCTTCATTAATTTCCTCTTAGGCATCAACTGTTAAAGATTGAATGTTGCCACACCAATAAAACACAAAGTTTCAATGTGTCTGTCAAGGTAAATTATGAATAAATAAATAAATGTTGATCATCGTGTCGGGATCACACGATGGCGCTCTGCAGCAGTGCGCACGTGCCGCGGTACGTGGAGTGGAGTGTTCCAGCTGCCCACACACGCGGCGACGGCTGCGCTGGTGTTTTGGTTCTGCTGCAGGTCCCGCCCACTGTGAGTCTATTGGTCTGTGTGGTGACTGACAGCTGCGTCCTACTCTGTGGGCGCGGTGTCAGTGCGCGATCCCGTGAAAAGACCTGCTGCTTGCAAACTTGGCTGAAAGTCTTGAAGTCAGAAGTAGAAAGGTCTTTTCAACTGAACATCTATCTCCTGATATTTCAACTCCTCACGTTCATCATGACAAGTGCAAGTCAAATTCTTTTTGGAGATCGGAGTGACACTTCTGATCTGCTGAGGTCGCTTGCCGAATATCCCTTCTCCTTCCCGTCCTTTGAGGACAACGGTAAGAGCAAGACATTTTTCAGTGGGAATTAATATTACTGAAGTGTAGTGAGCGGATCTGCAACTGCTGATTCTCTCGCTGTTTATCCATCATAAAATAGATTGTACATAAAGTACGTATTATAGACGAATACTTCTGCTCGCACCCATTTTGTAATTCATGTGTGGCAAGAAAATGTTAATTCTGTGGTAAGAAGAGATCCTTTATTTGCAGCACAGCGGGGAAATGTCAGTGTTGCTTCACAAGTTACAGAACAGTAGGACAGTAAGAATACAGAGTGTGTATGTATATGTATTTGGGCTCTCAGCAGACTCAGTAACTTTTTCAATCATTCGGTCAATCACGAGTTCCTACTTTCAAAGTTCCTGTGACAGTGCAACAAGTTACCAGTAGAGGGCATTCTAACCACGTGCCATCAAACGCCTTATTTGAAAGATCCATTGTGTCCGACAATGGTTTAATGACAGATTTTCATGGATTTGATTGGTTCTCAAGGTAATATGGCATTGAGTATTTAAAAAGAGAATGTTCCACGGTGGTTTGACTCTGGAGGTCACTTACACTAATCATCCGTTTTGATAAAGCACTTTTCAATCATTCCTAATTCACAAGACCGCATCTGAACATGTGGACATCGTCCCTGTTCAACAGCTGTACGTCTGTCCGCGCATACAGTAGAGTTTATATGGACGTGTACAGTCTGTATTGTACAGCTGATGCGCCACCACAGACGGTGTTTATCCACATGCGCCACATGAGCAGGACGTGAAGCCGCGCCCCTCAACAGCTTGTTCCCTCACGTGACACGGGTGGGGGCGCTGCACGTGTCGGTCCACGAGCGTCTCCAGGAGGACAGAACACCACCGAACAAATGCCTGCATCTGCACAATAACAGAAGTCTAGTAAACAGCACCGTGTGTTGGATGGACTAAATGAACACTAGTGATGTTATTGCACACTAGTAATGTTATTGCACACTAGTGATGTTATTGCACACTAGTAATGTTATTGCACACTAGTGATGTTATTGCACACTAGTAATGTTATTGCACACTAGTGATGTTATTACACACTAGTAATGTTATTGCACACTAGTGATCTTAATACACACTAGTGATGTTATTGCACAATAGTAATGTTATTGTACACTAGTGATCTTAATACACACTAGTGATGTTATTGCACACTAGTAATGTTATTGTACACTAGTGATCTTAATACACACTAGTGATGTTATTGCACACTAGTGATCTTAATACACAGTAGTGATGTTATTGCACACTAGTGATCTCAATGCACAGTAGTGTTCTTATGTACAGTAGTGGTGTTATTGCACACTAGTGATCTTAATGCACAGTAGTGATCTTAATGTACAGTAGTGATGTTATTGCACACTACGTGATTTTAATGCACATTAGTGGTGTCTTATGCTTATTACGTTATGTTTTCACAACTTCGATCAACATTTTAAAAAGTGTTCCAATGAGAATGCAATGTGTTCTGGTTATGGTCTATGTTCGTATTTTTGACATGTATCAAGTGTGCCCACTGCAAACCCATCCAGTGGTGCAGAAGCAGAGCCTTGTTTAGGGAGATGAGAAACGAGCCAATGAGCGTGCAGTGTCCGTGTGTGGGCGGGGCCTCTGCATGTGCTGGAGGAGCCCTGATGCACACAATACACTGGACTGTCAGCCTCTTGTTTTCTCCACACACACTGCTCGGGACAAAGAAGATCCTTTTAAAGCATTGTTGACCTCGAGAGAACAGAGTAAAGCCGTGTGGTGCTCGTTCCTCTTCAAGACACTTACAGCCGTGTGTTCTACGGAGGCAGACGGAACAATGCCTGGCAAAGCCCCCGTGACAATGGCCATTAAAACAAGTCCTGCAAGTGCAGCGACTCCGCAAAAGTCTTATCCTTTTGCTTTGAAGAAGATCATGGACATCCCCCCTCCAAACATCTTGGATGAAGGCGACGACGGTAAGCTCTACACAGACCAGTTGTGAAGAGTGAAGTTGCATTGTAGCGTAGTTTCCAACGCCAAATACCTGTCCTCCACGAAGTCTCTTGGAAATCTACAATGGTCTTTTAATTGATATAGATGATTAAACTATTCATCAACAAAGACTCTTGAGCTGCACGTGCACGCTGTTGCACGAAGCCTGTCTTGCCAAAGGATGCAAGAAAACCTGATAAGAACAAAAAGTCCCCACGCTCGTTGCCTTGTATCCTTTGGTATCCATTGCACGTAGTAACGACCTTATGGACTTGACATTATGTTCTTTCATCTTGAGTATAATTATTATGACATTGATGGCATTTAAATTCATAGTAATTCGTATTTTACAATGACACCAATTCCAATTTGAATATGTCAACTTTCCCCGTCAAATTGTTGTACTGTAAGGCAGCATGGTTATTATGTTATTTTGTATTTAAATGATATTTTGTGTGTTTCTCTGTGTTGTGTGCAGATATCGAGAAAGAAAAGCTGGGCTCTTCACAGGATGTGGAAGGAGTTGTGGCTGCAGCTGCACCTGCTGCTCCCAGGGGCAGTGGTGGAGGCGGAGGCAGTGGAGGGGTGTCTGCCTCCCTGACCCCAGCTATTTGGGACAAGACCATCCCCTACGACGGTGAGACGTTCCACTTAGAGTACATGGACCTAGATGAGTTCCTGCTGGAGAATGGGATCCCAGTGAGTCTGGAGATGGAGGAGCTGCAGAAGACATTGAACGGAGAAGGCAAAGGAAAAACTGTTCCCAAGGTTACGGCTACAATCAGCACTTCTACTACTACTACTGCTGCTGCTGTTGTGCCCACATCAGTGTTTCCTACTTCGGAAGACACTTCTGAGCAAGAGGAACCCATTACTGTTACTACACTACAGCCAGCTAAGATAGAAGAAGAAGAGGAGCAGGAAGAAGACGACGAAGAAGAAGAGGAGGAGGAGGAGGAGGAAGAAGAGGAGGTGCAGGAGGAGGTGGACACGCAAGATGAACAGACGCTGCCAGACTTGGAGATAAAGAAGCAAGGGAAGCAAGCAGAAGTTAAGGAAAAGAAAAAGGGTGTGTAAAGATTATTGATGACTTTTGTTTCTTTCTTGTTCCAATACTTCCTCTTGATAGAGAAGCAACCTGTGAGTTTAAATCAATTACTTTATTATCTAATGTTTACAGAAGGCAGTACTGGAGACCGGAACACACCATCTCCCGTAGACCCTGATGCCATTGAAGTGGACATTAACTTTCAGCCTGATCCCACTGATCTGGTGCTGTCTAGTGTTCCTGGAGGAGAACTTTTTAATCCACGCAAACACAGATTCTCTGATGAGGATCTAAAGCCACAACCCATGATCAAAAAGGCCAAGAAGGTGTTTGTTCCTGATGAGCACAAGGTCGGTACATGAGTGTTTGTATAGAATGCACATAAGTGTTAATGAGTGTAGCACCACTAATAAGTAATAAATAATAATATAAGTTTTACAGCAATATTTCTGTAATGGGTTACTGTGTCTTAATGCCATTTGGCTTGTAAACGTTAAATGAAAGAACGCCGATGTGTTTTTGTTTTTTGTCACAGGAGTGTTATGAATTTGGGGTCCCATTAATTATGTGTTATTTATTATCTGTTTTTATTCTCTATTTTAGGATGACAAATACTGGTCCAGAAGGAAGAAGAATAACTTAGCTGCGAAACGTTCCAGAGATGCACGGCGCCTCAAAGAGAACCAGATCACAGTTCGAGCCTCATTCTTGGAGCGGGAAAATGCAGCTCTGCGACAGCAAGTGGCAGAGCTGCGAAAGGACTGCGGGCGATGCAAAAACATCCTGGCCCGCTATGAAGCAAAGTATGGTCCACTGTAAAGATCTTTGGGCTCGATTTAGTATCAATGAGACCACACCCTTCCCCGCAGTATCCAACACAGACAATACCAAGGGAATCTAACATTTGGCTTTTGGCTGATGCCCAGTGTTCCAAAGGGGACTGCAGCTGGAGGGTGAGCTGTCTGGGTTGCTGGGCGGCCTGTGCCATCAGTTTCTTGATGAGCTGATGTGAGTTGAAAAAGGCAGATTATCCCGCGGTCAAAAAAACATGGAAAAGGTTTCAGTTCTGGAAAGAAAGGTCAGGGTTGGTTATAAGCTACATGATTTGAAACTCAATTCCGTTATAATGCGCAGCCCTAAGTGGACCAAAGCATGAGTCATTTAGGAGTCGTTGCACTCTCACTGTTCATAGAAGAGTTGCACTTGTGTTTGTGTGTGCACTTCAGTGTCCGAGGTGGAGGTTGCAGGAGCTCATGAGACGGTGATGGCGCTCTATGCCTGACTAGAGCAGCAGAGGGCACAAGACTGTGTTTAGGATCAGTACTGTTCTTCCACTTTGTGACTCACACGGACACAAAAAGGGGGTGGGATTGTACATACAGTCCATGTGTCTAATCCATTTTGCACTTCTTTTCTTGCTCAAATGTACTGGGGTTGGTAGGTGACCTTGTGAATGCTGTTGTAGCATTTTTGGGGGTGGGGGGTGCATGGTCAACAGCTCAGAGCTACAGCTTTCACTTGCATTTCTTGGATTTCTTCCAAAGCCTCATACATAATAATTTTACTGATGTTTTTTGTCTGTTTTAAACTTAATATGTTTGAAGATCTGCAGGGCCCTCACAGAAGGAGGGATATATTACAAAGAAGGAAAGGTTTATTTTACTGCACAATGCAAGAAGAGGCTGCTGGAGCCACTGTCCGTCTTGACAGAGTGTAGTGAGAGATGGGATTCTTATTTTAGCAGTTTACTGCTTGTAAATAGTCTGAGACAGGGATGCAGACTGTGTCGTTATTAACCCAATACTATTCCTTATATTTGCCAAATAGTCAATGAGTGCTGTATTTATTCTGATGGTAATAACACATTATTAGATTGTTATGTAAAACAATGTCAGATTATTCCTTATTGGAACAATACTTTTACTGATACCAATGACAAAGCAGGGAATTCAATGGGTAAACTGTGCTTTTAGATGTTTGTTTTAAAACAGATTATATAATAAAGTATTCTCTCTTTACAACATAGAATCACAACATTACACTAATGTCTCCTCCAGCACTTCCTGTTGGCCGTGTGCTGCAGTTGTAGGATCACTATAGCAACGAGCATTTCCGACCATGCCGCTGAGTCTGACAGTGAGCTCAGTTTTCTAATGATGTTCCATATGACAAACTGTTTTAGGGACTCAGTCCAAAGTGTCTTTGGGTGATGAAGATATTTGTGGAGCAGTTTGGTTGGTGCTCATAACTGCCTCAGAAATTATCAAAATTATTGTGGCAATAATATTCAGCTAAATTATGTTTTTAGTTTCTTCAGTGATGTACAGTATATAAAATTGTCATGTGATACTAAAAAGAAATGTCCCAAAGTAATTTATGCTTCCAAGTATATCCTGGGATTGTATTGCATGAGGCCCAGATACAAATTGTCTTTTGCTAAATATGTCACAAAGTGTACTTAAAGTCTGTAACCATCACTGGGACTAGATGCCGTTCTGAAGAATACATCAAAGGACTTTTCTCTCTAAAACATCCTGGCCACGTATTCCTGTGTGGTGTGTGCTCCATTTTGGAAGGCTGCATCTGTTGATCACTGTGTGGATTGTTTAATGGTTACTCAGCGTGCATTTTTATAAGTGACTAGATGCACTGAACCTACTGGTTTGTGTCTAAATAGATTCTATAGTGTTTTTTTTGTATGACATTCAGACTTGAAACAAATGACATTTTATACATGCTGGTGATCATTTCTGACACATTGAGGGATATTTTTGCATATATTTAAAGTGGAAAAGCAAACAATATGTAGCAGTCTTTCTTTAGATATGATTACAAACTGAACATGGTAAACTGCATATATGAAATGTGTACTTTGGGCAATCATCACTTCTTACAACTTCACCTTTAACATTTTTGTTCTAAGGTAGTGAGAGCAGCTAATGAATGATTTTAAATGAGTTACTATTTCATCCTAAAGCAATCTGCAGCTCTTATATTTTGCATGCAAGTGGTGCCTATATGTTGTTTTGTCAGGTTTTCCTCTTGGAGGCAACGTGTTGGGTCGTTGATGTAGCCTAATTATGTCCACTATTCTAAAAGAATCTGGCAACAAGACCTATTGATTTCAAATTTTTTTTTTTTTACATTGTTCTAACCGTGTAAAGAAGATGTGCTTTTCCATGTCCAATATCTATACTGTATTATGCATTAAAATACAAATAAACTGGGATGTTATGACCTATTACCTTTTCATTTGACCTTGATCCAAGCCTTTCGTCAAGTGGGAGTGGATGGCGGTGTGTGTGTGTGTGGGGGGGGGGGGTGTGTGTGGGGGGGGGGGGGGGGGAACAGGCAGAAGCTGTTGCGTAATGATCCCAACACTGGGGAGCACTATTGCGTAACAGGAGGATGCAGAGGCAGATCCAGGGACTACAGTGAGAGGGCGGGTCTCTGAAGATGGATGCAGTCTGGATGGATCAACAACAAAAGAAAAGAAGGGGTGGGACTGTAGGCGACGATGACGACACGAGTGGGCACATGTACGTCGTGTAAGATATACGACGCGAATATATAATATTTACGCAATTGCCCCAAAGCTTTCTCTGCCTTACAAGCCCCCATGGCTTCCTTTGCACAACATATGATGAAATTCAAAGTAAGACCTGCTATGATCTGTCCATGGCAAAGGAGAAGGCAAGATACAGAATTTACAGAAACAAAACATCCCAGAGAACTTCTTAAACCTCATACTTTTGCACATACTTTAGTAATGTTTGAATTACTTTCCACTGTGAGTAATACTTACCAGAGTAACGGCCCATGGTATGCTTGCTTGAGTACATTATTCAGCTTCACTCCCTCCTTTGCCTAGTTTCCAACTAAAGGCCAACACTACAGGGGACATCCAAAATAAGCATGAAATCAGCTGTCCGTGACCCCCCCTTTGGGAACCATTGGTCTAATGTGCACATAAACACACAGTCATGTCATTGGCTTACGTTTCCCATGCTTTCCTTTGGAGGTTTTATTACAAACGTGGAAAAAAAGTGTATACAGTACAATCTGCAGTATTCTTCATTCTTGAGGGGCTGCACAGATAACAGGTCATTGCATTTCAGAGGTGAACGTCACATCACATTGGGTAGAAAATAGTTTAAGCATAATAAAATACAAGCAAGGAATTGTACCATATCCAGAAGTCTTCTGATTTACTTAAATTGCTTGTTTTATTTTTGTATAGTAGAAAACAAATACACATAAGCAAAAGACATCTCTGTATATAAAAAAAATTGCCCATTTTGTTTTCAACCCTCACTATAAAAACATTAATACTGCTGATTAGATTACACTAAGACTCATTTACTTTAGAAACTTAAATTCAATACTCAATATATTCATGCAATTCACTAAAATGCAAATGGACAATTTGTCCAAGCACAAGCTCTTTGACAATGTCAGTTTCCTACATCATTTTAAACTTGCTTTTACAGCAAAGAGGTAGCACCTCCAGTAATACGGGGCCTCTCTAGCCATGGCATTAAACTGATGGATGTGTGACATCACTTAAACTTCCTTGTGTCCAATAGTTTGAGTTTCAAATGGTATACTGTACTATGTCGCAAAATATCGCTGTTGTACCCATTTCTACTATCGTTGCAGCAATTTTACTTTACAGCAATTAGATTATACTTAATGTTAATTATGTTCTGTCCAACATCACTGGTCCAAACGGTATAGCAGGTTCAAATCTACAAATTGCCAATACCCAGAAGTAGGTTAAGATGTCTCTCAGATTATGGCTATAATATCAGTAGCAGTTTAGTGAAATCCAAATGTATGATTGTTGTGTTAAGGCAAACCAAGATAATAAACATTGCAAGTATGATGTTGAATAGGGCCCAAGTTGGAATTTTGATATGAACAAAACTGATGAATCTTCCTATACACAAACCCATTGTAAACAATATCTCATTTCTAATCTCCTTCAAGAGTGAAAACATTACCCGTCTTATTAGACAAATGCTGTACACGGTACAATACACATTCAATACTTTATTCTATACATCTTTATTGTCTTGTTTTGCATATATTCACGTATTTTTGTTGAAAAAATAACCTCAGCATGTAAGAAACTAAACAATGACTCTTAACATAAGAAATGCAGATTATATACATTTTCCAGTATTTCATACTCGTACAAATATGAGTGGTCATTAGCAAAAAAAATAAAATGATAGAAAAACACATGAAAGAAAAATACATTTCCCATTGCAATCATAACAAGTGTCAACCCCCTACCATTACAAATAAAAGTTGCATGACTGCATGCACATGACAGATGTCACATTGCAAATGTCAGTGAGCACATGTCAAGGGTTGTAAATAGAACATTTACAAATATAAATTTGGACTGACATCTTCTCACCAGTGTGATGCATTGAATACTTTGTAGTCCTTAGAATCTCTAAAGCATTTAACGACAGTTGAGTGAGTGTGCATTACTGAGCTGAAAGTGAGGGCACGAGGATCCCAGTAATAAAGTGCTGGAAAGCTTAAACGGACATCTGAGGGTCACTCTTGTCTTCAGTGACAAACCATCACAAGGACCCAGCCAGTAAACACAACTCACATGAGACAATCTATTCAAAACACAGCAAGAGCCATGGCACATTCTGGAACATCGGCCTTCACAACATCTGTCACTCAATACATTTTAGTAAAAAACTAGAGAAATTTAAAGGAGGGAGAGAATAGTGAGAATAGTGAGAATAGCGTGTGCCTTTGGCTTCAATACCATTTAAACTGAGAGGAAACGTGCTCTGGATTTTAACATGTGGGTCTAGCTTATCCACCCAGAACAGCGTCAAGGCAACACTCTCCTTCAGTCGTTCCAGCCCTTTCCATTTGCCTGCATCTCTCCTCTGCACCCAGGAAACACTCTCCTTCATAGTCAAAGTCATGCTAAGCCATTTATCACAATCCCTAATGCTTAGCCGTTGCTTCTTCCTCCCCTCCCCCTCGAATCTTCTGCCTGTTCACCTTCACAGGCTGCTGACTACAACCGCACGCACATTCCCCTGCACAGGTCCTTGTGCACAGATGTATCGAATTATGACTGAGGTATCAAAAGATGTTGCAGCACTAAATTGCTTTTCATAAATCAGTTTTCACCGAAACTGTCCCTGATGCAATTTCCCTCGACAGGTGGACTACATTCCACAGCATATTGCACCCTCTCGTTTAGGCCCATACCATATAACACTGAAGCGGCCCTGAATCTGTATTACACCTTGTGTGCCTGTGGTTTCAAGGAGAAGATGGCCACTATGTGAACACGGAGGCTTGGAACCCCATCAAACCACAACAAAACAAGAAAAGCAAGGCAAGCAGACCTCCGCTAGCTGTATTTGTGGCAAGTAGGGCAGAGCAGATTGCGGAATAAAGTGCTGAGCTTTTTCCACAGCCGTCATTCACTGCAGGACTTGGCTAGGTCATTTTTCACAGCATGACAGTGCAATGGAAAATGGAGGGAACACTGGAGCCGGGTCCAAGAAAACGCATCTCCACCGTTAACATTCATTTGAAATCATAAACAAGAGTCTGGCAATGAGTCAAACAAATTCTTCTACTCCAACTCATCTTGCCCACAATCCATGACTGCTAATAAATGACAAAGTGCGTGGGGAAAAGAGAAGAGTACACAAGAACAAAACGAATTGGTACACTCATTTATATTGTAGGTCAGTAGTAAAAGTAATTCTAAACTTGCATTGGTATTTCAATTTGTTAGAAAAAATAAAAATAATCTGAAGTTAGTGTCTTAAAGTATTGTAAAACAAAGGCTTAGTTAGCCAGCACTACTGGCTGGAAGGGTGGGCTGGGATATTGCAGGTTGTAGTTTCCCAAACCGTCGACAAATGACTGCTTCTCAACGTAAGAGATCGGCCCGCCTCCACTTCCTATGATGCCCACGTTCTGAGCAGGTGGGGGGCTGGAGAACGGGTCAAACGGCGGCTGGTTGTGGCCTGCGTGAGGAGGCTGAAAGGGGCTAGTGTGAGCTTGCATGGGCGGAGTGTCACTATCAAAGTACAGTTGGCCCGGAGATCCAGGGTAGATGAACTCTTTGGCGTTGGGGGAGAGCTGGCTGGGCATGGGTCCCCCCAGAGAATGCAGGGACAGAGACAGCGGCTTGTGCTTGAGGAGCTCAGGAGCAGAGAGGGGAGGGGAGCGGGACAGCATCCTTGGGACCGGAGCTACAGTGGTAGACACAGCTCCGCTGCTCTTCTTCATTTTTGTGGAACCAAATTTAGTGGCAGCGAAGCTGGCAGTGGTGAAGGTGATGGGCTGTGGCCGAGCTGGAGTAGGTGTGGAGAGGTAAGGCAAGGCGCTAGGTGGAGAGGGTGTGGATGTGTTTGAGGAATGAGGTACCAGCTCTGGGGGGGTGCTAGAGCTTGGGTAGCTGAAGAGCCCATGACAAGAGGTGGGCAATGGGGGAGAGGGGCACAGGGAAGGCAAAAGAGTGGGCGATGCCTGACTACTGATGGGCACAAAAACTTGGGCATCTGGGTTAAAACCTGCACTTTTGTTTTCGTCGGCCTCTGCATCTCCTTTGGCCTCCCTCATGACAGCCTCTGGGACCTCGCCATCACAGCCCAGTCCAGGGGGGTCCTCCAGATACAGGACCTTTACAGGCCCCTTCTCCCCAATTTGGTACGAAACTTCATAGGGGTCAATCCACACGCTGAGCTCTGCTGGGACATTTGTTCTCACCTCCTCTGTATCCAGCCCACTCCTCTTGGCGGCCAGCTCCACGACAGGGTCTCGTGGAGCCCCGAGGTGGAGGCAGCGGAAGGCAGAGCCCCGGAAAGGTGCTTCAGGGTACCAGTGTCCCTCAAAACGAGACACCAAGATCCTCTCCAGCTCCTCACCAAACAGGTCTGCTCGGCGGCGAGGAAGTTTGTTGTATAGATAAGATACGATGAAGTTGAGGGCCACCTTGATTTCCAAATGCATGACTGTCTCAGTTCCAGAGCAGCTGTATCAGGCAGTAGATCTAAACAGAGTCGGGAATATTCCTTTGATTTAGATTAAGATTAATATGAAGACTTTAACAGTAGTCATAGTAAAAAGGCACCTCAAAATGATCCTTCGGTTACAACTGCAACAAAAAAAGAGAAGAAAAAGTGTCCATTAGTCACAGAGCTATATTTGATACATAAAATGCATTTACAATAATACTTGTACGCCTGCATTTGAACAGTTTGTCTTAAATGATCTGATCCAAACATAATGGTACAAAAAACATGTTTTGATGATCACCCCATAATTTCATATCTATAGATATCTCGATCTAGATATATATTCATAGAAAAAAAAGACTCTGAAGGCCCTACACCATTTTCAATTCTGAGCGAGCTACATGACGTACAGATGGCTGTGACAGATGCTGCCGATGTTGTAGGCTTCATAATTCCTTTATAATCCGAACGGAATCTTTAAATCTTTGCCAAAGATACTTATTAAATCGCACAAAGTCACACATAGAAACAAGAAAAACAGTCACCTGACTTCTAAAAGCTGGTGTGGAATAGCAAGAGGGATTGTCAAACCTATTGAACACCATTTCCCACCATGCAGCTTGCACAGAACACCCCTCCCCCCCTGTCACAAACAATCCAGCTCCCTACCAGAGGGATTCTGCAGCCAAGATTAGAACAATATCTCACTACAGCCTTTTAGAATGTTACTGCAAATAAAGATAGTCCGGTACATGTTGTCTGCTGCATTGGTACCTGAAGATGTCATAAGACCTTGAATCTGAGACTGAGACTAATCCGAAAATACTACTGTACGACGTGAATCCCACTCAATCAATCTGGGTTCAAGGTAGAAAATTATCTGAAACAGGATTTATCACTAGTAAAAGACATCAACCCAGCAGCCTACAGCGAAACCGCTTCCCCTGCTCTTGTTATTGTACAGCAACATCTCCTTTCAATGTCATTCAATGACAGAAAGAATAGCTTACCATAGGTGTTTATGGTATACACTGTAAAAACCCGATGCTCAAGAACATTATAATGCGTGTTTCTCTGAGCTTCTATTCAATGTAGATCTGCTAGTTTTTGTATCATGGACACTGCTATCGCTAGGAAAGCAATGGCAGCTGTTCCAGTATGTTTACATGGATTAATAATGACTGTTCCTTGTGCCCGATACTGGGCCCTGCAATAATAGTCTTAACCCCCACAATGAAATATCAACACGACCATAAGCCCATATGCCAGAACAAGATAAGGCTTTAAGTTTGAGTGTTCCTACTAGAATATAAAGCCATCTCACTGCTCAAAGACGATTATTCTCCGACAGGCTTTAATGTTATGCTGAATATTGTTGAAAAGCTCATGGTTGATCACTACCTGCCCTATGTTAGAGGAGAGGAACAGCATAGACTTGTTAAAGTAAACAAAATGGAATATGCTTAAATGACAGCTCTCCCACTGATGGTGAGAGGAGAAGCAGACAAGGGGAGCATCCTCAAGTAGCAGGGAGTGTGACCACACATATGAATAAACATGTGGAACCTCAACTTGGTCTCTAATATTATATTATATCTATTATATGCATTATTACGGTATGGGAGACAAATGGAAGGTTTTCTGCATTTGGCCAGTGGTGTGCAGATTTTTAGTCCCAGAAACAACTTTAAGATGGTAATAATGAAAACAGATTAGGGCCTCGGTTGTCATGCTTCGTGGGAAAAGGGCTGAGACCAGAACAAAAACAGATAAACAAGTCATGCTCACATACCGTTTGTTTGTGATGCTCCATCCACGCTCCTCGTTCCGCCTTTCCAACCACAAGACTGGACCATCTGATATCCCCTGGTGACGAGCAGAGCCGACCGTGTGCACATGTGTGTGTAAGCCCGTCTTAGAGGAGGTAAAGCCCCGCTGGTGCTGGTGCTAGAGATGGTAAAGGTCTGTGGGTCTCTCCGCTGTCACTTCGCACAAGCCTCCACAGAAACTTTACTGTTTGACAATCTGGCGTATTTATACAGTGTGACGCGCCCACACCCCCGTGCCATGGCAGTACAGACTACTTTCCTTTTATTATGCAGCTCAGCGACTGATTGTTAAAATGTTATCGACTAAAACAGGCAGACCATCGCGAGATCTTTATTCGCGAGACTATCTGCCTATAACGTACAACTTAAAGCTATAAAACTAGGCTTGAATTGTAATTGACAAGAAAAAAAGCCCATATCTGCTCCTTGAAGATACTGTGAATACTAGTGGAGTCTCCACCATCTGCCTGTCTCTTATTTTATATTAAATATCTGTATCACCATCACAACAGAAGACGTGTCATGTGGCTCTATTTTGTTTGGCGGATGGATACTTGAACTTCAAATACAGTTGTAAGAAACCAATTTGCTAAAAATATAAACGGTGATAGCAACAGAGTTTCTATTGGCTGAGATGTGGGAGGACCCGCACGTGATTGGGCGACGCACGTGCAGCATCCTCACGTTCATGGAAGACGCAAGGTCTTATGGGAAATGTGGTCCAAAAATTATTGTATTCTGGACCAATATATTATAACAACAATAGTCTATAATGAGCCTACATATTGTTCAATTGTTACAAAATTTAAGTTTAGAATTTATAGTGACAACTAACAATAATTTAGACATCAATTAATACTCTTATTTTGTTTAACCAATTAACTTAATGGAACACAAGTATGACATTGTAGATCAAATTTACCTAAACCCTCATTTGTAAATGATAAAAATAATATAAATAATAATAATGCATTGGGTTTTTTATAGCCCTTTTCAGGATTATTCTTTCACTCCCTACACGGTATAATAGTGTTATACCAGTTTAAATACAGATTGTGGGGCAAACATTCACAATAAGGGTCACTGAAATTAAGTGACTGAGGACCTAAGCAGGGCAAGGCCTGGTTAGTCCTGTGATGGGAGACCTCTGGGAACACAATGGGGGCACCTGTGTCTGGTTATATCCTTAGGCAAGACACTTACACACACACACACTCATTCATATAATGAATGAGTGTGTATTTACTTCAAGATGAGGGTATGTTCTGTTGATATGGATGACATATCAGATGTTGTGTGTGCAGACTGGGTCGCAGAAGCTTCCACCTTATACAGACACAAGCGGTCGAAATGAGTTTCCTCCGCAGATTGGCTGAGCGTTCCCTTGGAGATGGGGTGAGGAGCTCAGTCACACGGGAGGAGCTCGGAGTAGAGCCGTTGCTTCTCCACGTCGATAGGAACCAGTTGAGGGGAGGTGTTACGGGCACGTCCCACCGGGAGGAGACCCGGGGAAGACCTGGGACACGCTGGAGGGACTATGTCTCTCAGCTGGCCTGGGATTGTCTTGGATGAGCTATGTGTGTGGATAGGGGAGTCTGGGTGTCGGATGAAGCGGAAGAAAATGGATAGATGGAATGCCATATCACAAACACATTGTTCCTATTTTCCTTTTTATTATTCCACAATAATGCCAAACCAAACCAAGAATCAACCTGTATATTCTAGTATAGAAGAAGAAATACTGTATATACTGATAAAGTATATATTCAGTATATATTTCTTTGTACTAGATAAATAGGTTGATACTCTGTAGCTTTTTGCTTCGAGGTTTATTTGATATTGTATTAGATACATTTTGAGTCACATAAACACATTGTTATTACACTTTAATGACTCAAAGAAA